CTGCACAACTACTTGTTCATGAACTGCCTCCAGCTGCACGGCAGATCCTGTTTGTCTATGATAAGAGTTGTTGGTCGGTTCTCTGCAGCGTGCTTTTCTTGCAGAGCAGTACTGAGAGAGCGGAATGAAGATTCTGGTGTCAAAAGCTTTTTACTTTGAAAGTGACCTGTGCAGTGACCAAGTGAAACTTGGCTGTTGACTGACTGCTGTGAAAGATCCAGCAGAGTTCCAGAGAGCTGCATCGAACCGAGAAACTTTGGTGAACGCAGACAAAAGAGAGATGGCTCCCTATCTCTTGAATTGTTGAGATGTGAACATGGCTTGTAGCCTTGTGGGCCCAGAACCCACCCGACCCTGGAATGAAGATTCTGGTGTCAAAAGCTTTTTACTTTGAAAGTGACCTGTGCAGTGACCAAGTGAAACTTGGCTGTTGACTGACTGCTGTGAAAGATCCAGCAGAGTTCCAGAGAGCTGCATCGAACCGAGAAACTTTGGTGAACGCAGACAAAAGAGAGAGAGATATATATATATATAACACACACACATAGGTAATATAAACCCTGTTTGTTATCTTGGTATATCTGAAAACTTGTAATATGCAGAGAATGACAATAACCGCAAAACCTCAAAACCAAAAAAACAAAAAAAACAAAACTTTGAAGAGACTTTTTGGTTTAGCCTCAAAAGATGTTTTTTTTGTTATCCTTGTGTTTTTTGTTTTGAAATGCAAAAACCCAAAAAAAACTTGTGTTTTTTGGTTTTTGGTGATTTTCTCCAACCATAAACCTTCAAAAAAACAAAAAAACACAAGTTTTTTTTTGGTTTTTGCATTTCAAAACAAAAAACAAAAAACACAACAAAAAAAACATCTTTTGAGGCTAAACCAAAAAGTCTCTTCAAAGTTTTGTTTTTTTTTTTGGTTTTGAGGTTTTGCGGTTATTGTCATTCTCTACATATTACAAGCTTTCAGAAAAGTTGCAATTTTTATAGAAATTCCTTTCAGGAACGTGATCATAGTAAGCAATATGATTGCAAGTTGCAAGAATTTTGATGTGTTGATTTAAAATTATAAGTGTAAGTGTAAAATTTATAGTAGATATTATATGGTTCTTTACTATTTTAAGTATATAAGATTCGCAATATGCAGTTGATTTGTAATAGAGCTTACATAATATATAATCAACACATCTAGTTAGTGTTCATTTTACAAAAAAATAGTATATGCATTTTTTAAAAATGATAATAGAATATTGCTGTAATTACAAAGTAAAGACGCATTTGCTTAATGTATAAATATTTTTATATTATTTTATTAGCATGCTTATGTATTTATTACAGTAAATAGTATTTGTACATAAATCCGCCCGCACCGAAGGTGCTGGGGCGTGATCTTCCGGATGGCACTCGTAAAAGGTTACAGGTTTACCTGGGGGGGGGGCATTTTTCGGCCAAAACCTCCTGTTTTTGATAGGTCGTGACGCTCGCCTTCAAAAAACACTGTAAAAAAACAGTACGGAAGACACCTGTTCGTGAACGCGCCCGTCCAAAATCGGCAAGCGAAAAGTGAAAAAAACCCGTGTTTTTCAACTTTTTGACTTCAATTTTTTGGTTTGCAATATCTTTTTTTGCGGTTCCGCAGGTGGCCTGGCCCGGAGGCGGATTTTTGAGTTTTTGGACCCGTTTTCGGACTGATTTTCGTCGTTTTGTGATAGCAGAAACACTGGTTTTTACAGTGTTTTTCTGTTTTCTGCATGCTTGACGGCTAGCTTCAAAACTTCCAAAAACCTCGTAAATTACGCTGTTTTATGTTACGGTGTGAATGAAAACATCGTAAATACCAGTGTTTTTTGACGTTGGTTAAAAAAACACTGTAAATTACAGTGTTTTTTGCCACCTGACCCTCAAAAACCATGGTATTTGCAGTGGTTTCTGCTTCTCACCGCGCAAAAACACTGTAAATAACAGCAATTTCGCCGTTTTTTCATGTTTTCCGTTATTTTTTGAACTGCGTTGGTCCGCTATACATGGCCATCAAATTCTTCGCGTTTTTTTTTCCGACAATCAGTACTTTCGGATGTTTTTGGTCTCAATGCCCCTGCTGTGTGAGCCCAACGATGCGGTGCGGGCGGTTGCCGTCGCGAAGCGACGTGAATAAACTTCTACGTGTTATCAATACTATTTTACAAAAAAAAAAGTTATAATATTATAGAAATACATTAGTTTATGCATACAATGTTTTCATGTCTAATAATATTAAATCAAATAGTCATAGCATATCTAACAGTAACAACATTAATAAAGCAATGTTTCATTGTTATGGGTACTGTAATGCTAAATCATATGATATGAAAAGCTTAGAGCAGTATTTTCAGCAATATAATATAGGAACACGCACGATAGAAGATTCTGTATATTTTTCTAAATAATTTGATAATGAAACAGTAGAAGTATTTTATTTGAAATTTGGATCTGTAATGATATGGGGAGGTACCCAGAATCAACGAAAATTATTTTTATTTGTTTTTGAAAACTATATAAAAACGCAGGTTATCTTCTTCTCAAGACAATATTTTATATGAAAGTGAGATGATGAGATGTTTGTACTCATCAGATAATGCAACTATTTCTATAGACGAAGAACACAACTTAATAATTATTAATCAAATTCGCATTTTTACTAAACTTGCTATATCTTACGCTTTAGCTCAATCTGTTAAACTAAGCTCTTTAGAAAATTCTGTGGAAAAATTACTGAAAACACTTAACCAATACACGAAGAGCTTGCAAGAAAAGGTGCAATTTCTTTATCCAAAAAAGAGATTTCAATTAAAATATATAGGGATTTTATTTCAAGAGAAATATTCTATTAATGTGCATAGTGATGTATTAGATATACCAGATGTTTTTTGGAAATGCCTAACTACGAGCCAATATATTCTTTAACAGCAAAGTTGCAAGATATGCAATCTAGGCAACATATACTTAATAAGAGACACAAGATAGTAGAAGAATTATACAGTATACTTACCGATGAGCTTAATGTAAAACTTTCTAATAAGCTTGAACCAATAAAAAAAAGTTTTAATAGCAATAGAGGTGATACTAGGTTTAACAACTCAATTGCAACAGTTATTTTTTAAGTTTACTTATATAGCTATATATAGCTATTAAGATTAGGTAACTAAATATGTTTGCTATATGTTTGCTGTAATTTAAACTACTTAAGAAAGATTTTCTTGTCTTTCTAATTATGTATTATCATTTTAATTAGTGGTATGCACAGGCAATATTGTTTTTGGCATTAGTATATTGATGTGCACAGGAGAATAGAGAAGTATTACTTTTAGGCATTTCTTTTATTTGCTTATCTGTGAATTATTACTTTTTCCCCACCTGCCAGGTGAGGGTTGTTAGATTTTATGTCAGTTGCCTCCTCCTGCCTCCTGCCTCGTCCTCCTCCTCCTCCTCCTCTCCTCCTCTCCTCCTCCTCCTCGTCGTCCTCCTCGTCGTCTTCCTCGTCCTCCTCGTCCAACTGCGACCCGCGATCCACAGTGTTCTCTGTCGGACCTCAACCACGACCATCCATGCTCAGTGTTCCCTGCCGGACCTCAACCACGACCATCCACGCCCAGTGTGCCCTGCCGGACCTCAACCACGACCATCCACGCCCAGTGTTCCCTGCCGGACCTCAACCGGGAGTATCCACGCCAAGTGTTCCCTGCCGGACCTCATGTAGGAAGATAAAATGTCAGATAGAGTGCCAGAAGATTTGCCAGGTAGAATGCCAGAAAATATGCCAGAAGATATGCCAGATAGATATGCCAGAAGATATTCCAGAAGATATGCCAGATAGAATGCCAGATAGAATGCCAGAAGATATGCCAGAAGATATGCCAGATAGAATGCCAAATAGAATGTCAGAAGATATGTCAGATAGAATGCCAAATAGAATGTCAGAAGATATGTCAGATAGAATGCCAGAGATATGCCAGAAGATATGCCAGATAGAATGCCAAAAAGAATGTCAGAAGATATGTCAGATAGAATGCCAGAAGATATGCCAGAAGATATGCCAGATAGAATGCCAAATAGAATGTCAGAAGATATGTCAGATAGAATGCCAGAAGATGTGCCAATAAGAACATGTATAAATGTCATGGTGGGGATCACACGAAGTAAAGTATTTTTTTTAAATCTGTTTTTTTCTTAAAGTTAAGAATAGGTGTTATTTTACTTAATGGTTTTTTCTCCAAAGTAGTAGTTTCACCAGATTTTGTTCCCTGTATACCTAACCTGATTCTACTTTTTTCCTTATCTAAACCAAGCACATTACTTTTTGCTGTAAAATGTTTATTTTGCTTATATTGATTAGCAATATCTTGTAAAACTTGCTTAGATTCTACATCAGATTCATGAATAAGCCCTACAACATCTTTATCCAAATCTGAAAACAACACCAAAAATTGTAAATATACATGCTCAAACTCATTGCAAACAGCTTCAAAAGTGGATCTCAGGGGGGGGCCTAGCGTATATATATATATATCTATGTATGTATGTAATGTAATGTAATGTAATGTAATGTAATGTAATGGTATGGTATGGTATGGTATGGTATGTAATGTATGTATGTAATGTAATGTAATGTAATGTTATGTCATGTTATGTCATGTTATGTTATGGCATGGTATGTATGTATGTATATATATATATGAATCATATGAACATATTTGGAACATATTTCAAATCAACTGAATGTGGGGTCATGGGTCATGGCATCCAAACTTCGACACAAAACCACATTTTGTTGGTGAAAATGGATTGAGTTGTGAGTTACTTGTACCATTTGCCGCCTACAAAACCGCATTTTCTTGCTGAATTATCCGCTTACCTCAACATTCGACTGGTTTCTCTCGCTGAATCACTCCGTTTCCTTGCGTATGCACCCATCGTGGCCAGAAAAACTCCCGAAAATTCGAGCCAAACAAATTCGCCGTGAGGAACGCCTTCAACTATTCCACCATGTACTTTCAGATCAATGGCCTCAGTGACACGCAATCGGCTGGACTCAGCACCATGTTTCAGCTGGCCTGCGCCATTGGCAACGTGCTGGGAGGCTGCGGTCCAATTTCTTGGGGATGGGCCCAGCGGTTGGCGGCATCCCACATTGGCACCTCTCTAGGTGGTGCTTTCACTACACATTGGGTGGTTTAAAACTGCCGTTTTCTGCAGGGATCCAAGTTCCAATATTTTTCACGATTTCTCCGAAGTTCTCATTGGAATGGGTTGGAACCACCTGACCTAAAAATAGGGAAAGGTAGGGAAACAACTGGCAAGAGCCGTTGGAAGATCCTCCCCAAAAACTGGCCGTCCCCAAAGAGACAAGATCATGATCTTACACCCCTACATGAATTTGGTAGGTTCCATCAATCCTTTTTCCAAAAGTATTTATGGCATCATAATGCTGATAGTAGATAGTTTCCTTTTTTTAATGAAATTCCATGACTGTCCCATGCATGTAGGAATTCCCCTCCGCCCCGAACTCCGGTGGTTTTCTTGGCCGCCCGCCGCCACCGGAACGCAGGCAACATCGGTGACGCCATGGCACGACGCTGTCCTAACCACGGCCGCGCCTTCACAGCCAATATCTCGGTGGCCTGTGGCATTCCCTGTGTTTTTCTGATCTTCATGTCCACCCATCAAACCTTTGCGCCTTGGACTTGGTCTGTTTGCCGAGGTCTGGACATGGTTTTTGTTGGCAGAATATGGTCAAGCCATGTCAAGCACGTGGCTTTGGTACCTGAAGATTACCGGGAATCTCCCAAAATCCCCATGTTTGGGACCCTCTGGATCTAAGCCAAAGTCACCTTGATCTTTGTCTGAAAAGTGGCGGACATCCCAAGGATGTATTAGAACAGTTTCCAACCATGTACAAGGTGAGGATCCCAAACGATACCTGGGTTTGATATGGTTTAAGATGGGACTACATGGAATTTAAAGCTGATTTATGATAGCTAAGTTGACGCACATGACTTGGTGAATTCTATGGTTTCTGATCCCCAAGCGACGATTCAGGGAGAATCCATTCCCCCGGTTCATATGAAAAACACAACAGCAGCCACGAAACTGAGTCGGGACTGAGTCCGGAAACTCGACGGATTCTATAGGTTGAATCCATCAAGCAGTATGTCCATAGTGCCGTGTAAAATACATGATATTTCAAGGTCCATATCCTAGCATCCCTATTATAAAATTGCTGCTGGAATATCTCATGATGTCCATATCTGGATTTCCCGACTTTTATTATTATCATTATATTTCAGATCCCTATTATGATACATGTGGATATTATATCCCTATTACTATAATGATGTCCATATGTGTGAATTATTGAATTGATATCCCAGATATACCCATTATTATGTGTCCAGTCTATATGGTTGGTTATTGGCAAGGGTGCAGACTGGTAAGATCTGGCAATTTATTGCTTTTGGATCCATGCTGATGTTCGTTAATATTCTATGATTAGTTTCCTAACACAATCGTTGGATTGTTAATATCTCACATCCTATGATTAGATGTTCATGTCCGCAGCCATCATGATATCCCTATTGTAATGATGTCCATATGTGTGAATGATTGAATTGTCATATCCCAGATATTCCTATCTGGTTGGTGGTTTGGAACATGTTTTATTTTTCTATATTGGGTTCATGTCCTCATCCCAACTGACTTTCAGTCCATCATTTTTCAGAGGGATAGGTCAACCACCAACCAATATATATATATATATATATATGAGATACGGTCAAAATGAGCGTATACTACTTTAGTAAGGGAGGGTCCAGTTGTGCTGAGCAAGTGCACGAAACCATGTAAAGCGATAGGGCCCCATGAAAATCCCATTAATGAGTTTTCCTATGATGAGTTTCCAACCACCAACCGAGTAACGGTGTCGAGGCCTACTACGCCGTGCTCTTGGTGGCGATGGGCCTCACAGCGACGTGGTGTTGCGTGGGAGTGAACTGGCCCATCTTGTCAGAGATGCTCGGTGTTTTTTTTAGTGGGGACTTCAGATTTATATAATGATGAAATAACATGGGAAATGGTGAGTTAATGATAGTTAATGATAGTTAATGATAGTTAATGATATTTAATGATATAATAGAGTTGGTGAGTTAATGATAGTTCAATAATATACATGGGATATGATAAAAAATGAGTTGGTGACTTCATGATAGTGATATAATTAATAGGGATAATTAATGACCCAATATGAATGGACATCAATATGGATTGGTTAAGGTGATTTAGCCTCTGAACTAACAGGTTGCTATGGCAAATCAGCCTTTTTAGGTAACATATTAGGTAAATCATCGAACTAAATGGTCTGTTTTCCATAGCTATGTTAGTTTACTGGAGGGTAATGGGATTCAACCGATGATTTAATAGTGATATAATAGGGATAACGAATAAAACACGGTTCCAAGAGGTTTGACCATGACGATGAAACATGATGGCTTGGATATGGTTGAAACTTGGAAACAGAACTCCCAGATTGTCTACCGATGTCAAGCCCGGATTCTTATTCACCCCTGTGCTGCTGATCATTGGGTGGGGTATGATGTTTAGTAGATGACGAGGATGATGATGAGGATGAGGATGATGATGATGATGATGATGATGAGGATGACGATGACGACGACGACGGCGACGACGACGACGATGATGACGACGACGACGACGATGATGATGACGATGACGATGATGGTGGTGATGATGATGATGACGATGATGATGATGATGATGATGAGGGTTTATCAATTCGGGGTTGGCAGTGCTGACATTTGGGTCTCAAAGTGCATGGACCGATAAATCATCTACCATCTCAAGGTCTATTTAGCCATTTCAAGGAGGGTAGCACTGTCCCAGTCGGGCCTCATCACTGCCTTGGACATACACAATTATACCTACCAATGTTGGTTATATGTACCAGCTGTTGTCTTGTGTCGTTGCTTCTCTTGGCAAGTCCATTACTATTCAACCTACCTAATTTACATTCGCAATGAAAATTATCCTCCGGTTTTTTCGAACATGGCAATGGACAATCCACCATTTTTTGTCCATGATTTTTCCAGCTATTCGTTCGGAAATTTCCCATTGCCAGCCATGTTTTTTTCGACACCGGAGGGTAGCTCCTCAGCTCTCTCTTCACCTGGGCGTTGGCAACTGCATAAATTCTACACGACTGTCCGGCGTTTGTACATCTATGTTATATATTACCCTCTGGTTATTTAACATAGCCATGGAAAATCACCATTTTTAATAGGTAAACCATCTATAAATGGATCATTTTCCATGGCTATGTTAAATAACCAGAGGGTATGTATTATTTATAATGCACATATACACAGTACTTGTATTTAGTGATCCATTGTTATCTCAGACACAGCCTTCCGCATCCCCATTGCCATGGCTGTCACCTAGGATTGTGGATCCCCAATCCCGCAGTGGCGTAATGGCCTGGGAAAGTGCCATGGAAGGCGCCATCGCAGCATGCCTGGGCAATGCCGCCGTGGGGTTCTTGGCTCAAGGCCTTTTTGGTTTCGACTTGTCCAAAGATGCCGAGGGATCTGGGGACAATGCTGAGGCGTTGGGCAAGGCGGGTTGGGCTTGGGGGTTTGGGAGTTTGTGGCTTGGGGTGAACATTCGAAGTTTTTGGCAAGGTGAAAGAATCTCAACATGTTTGTTTCGATTTTCATCAAAATCGTAACCATTTTTTCACGGCAAAATCTTGGACCGAGTGATGATGCTTTCTGTTTTACAAAACACATGGAAACCAATGAACCCGGTGAAAACCAAAAGTCCATGTTTTTCCTGAACTTTGGTTGGTGCAGGCCTTGGCTTTCACTTCCGTGCTTCCTTGGAGTATTTGCCTTCTATGTTATCTCATCTTGCACTGGGCCTTCCCTTATGATCGAAGAATTCTCGCGGAGGAAAAGGAGGTCTGCCTGGAACGCCATGGTGGCAGATTGTACTCTGACTCGGAAGGCTCAGATCTTTCGGATAATGAGGACCTTTTAGAGTACCTGGATTGAGCTGGTGCTGGCAATCCAGTTACAGCTCCAGCACTGAAGTTGATCATAGTTAGTCTATGTCAATCTGCTGATCGGTTGAGGGCCAGCGATCTCTGCTGTTGCTGTCAGAGCAGTGTGTAGATAGATCTTTGCAGCACGGTCGGGCCCAGTTTGCCTCAAATGGGGCGGAAATTGCTTGATTGGAACGGTGGAACGGATATCTTTTGCGGATAACAGCACGGTGGTCATGGCTGCATCCCAGCATGGTCTGTCATGGATGACACAAGTGCCGTGGAAAAATCACAATCAGTTCTGAAATCGCAACTGCCTGTCTTTTCTGGCTCAGTTTAACACATATTAACTGACAACTTGATAGATTCAGAGTGTTTCATAAACATGTATAGTATGTGGTGCCAGCATCAAACACATCTTGCAGTATCACCACTGATAGCAGCATTTTTTGCACCAGAGGAGGCGACAGTGTGTAACCAGCAGGTTGAAGGCTCCACCTATCTTAGCCATGATTGCTATCATACCGCCAGCCATGTCAGTGCTATGTGTGCTTCTTTTTGTGTCTTGGCTCTTTTGAAAAGGTGAAATACAACGGTTCGAAACCATACTGAAGAACTGTGTATACTGTAGATTGAAGCTGAACTGGAGGGCCATCAACACTTTGTTCCTTTTGTATCCTTTTGTTATCCTTTTAACTATTGTTGCTGTAGATATACAGCGGTACATCTGGACCTCATACTCTTGTGGAATTTATACCCAGCAAAACCGAACACAACGAGGCAGATATCCTGCAACATCAGACTCGTGGGGTGTCCTAATTGACACATGCAATATTAAATCAGACCAAGGTCAAATAATACCAAATCACTGTTCTATCTTTTTTTTTTGCACATTATATATGTATACATTTATGATCGTTCATGTCATCATTTTGCAATCAGCCATACCCTCGTTGGCATTGATGATTTTCAATATATCACCATCCAAGAAAGATGTCGTGTCCTGTGTGTCCAAGATGTGTTCAATAGATGATATGTACTTCATAGTTCCAGGTTCCCACTGATCTCTATTTTTTTGGCTTGGCTGGTTGTGTCCCACTTGAGCCAGTCAAAGTACCATCCCATCTCAACTGGTTGAAGTCGGTTTCCGTCACTGTGGATCATCATATTCCGCGATCAATAGATGGTATATGATGGTATACAGTTCGTATCCGTAGTTCTGAACCAATCAACAAATGGGTATTTAAAACATTTTAAAACCATATCTCCATATCTTTGGTAGTTAAAACCCTATCAAAACCCTATGGATTAATCAACCAGGGTATTTTCAATGGCTAACTCGATGCAACTTTCAGATGTGCTGTTTGTGGTAGGCGCCACTGGCGACGGCCGTGCCAAAGACCATCGCAAGCCACCTGCGTTTCGCAGCCGCAGCGTAGACCCTAAAGAAATGTATGTTTTTATTTTTTTTTCGAGCATCATATATATATATATACAGAGATTATATATATAATATGTATTCTGTACATATATGTACACTGTATTATGATGTATTTATGTATATATATATATGTGCACTGTATTATGTACATACATATATATTATATTATAGTAAACCCGAAATAGATAGACAAGGTGTAAACCTGGAAATGTGATTAAATTTACGTAAGAAAGAGTTTGGCCCACATTTTAGATGCAGCCGACTGAGAAACTTGCCAGCCAAAAATCAATCAAGATCTCATCCAATTAAGTAGTAAGTGGGACATCAACCCAACATAGATAATTAATCATCCCCCAAATTTTTGGGGCTTGTGAAATTGGGACATCTATGCCATAAATCATGACAGCCCCCAAATGCTAATGGGATTCTGTAACCTCCTAGGTAATCTTACCCAGCTTTGTTCGATAGGTTTAGCATTCCGATTATCGTGCACTATAATGAGTGCAACTGTTTGGCTGTATTGACTGCATGAACTATGAACTATTTGACTATATATATATATATCTATCTATATAATTCTATATATATATATATATGATCCATAAAAACTGGGGTCATTTCCCTTTGCCATTTCAACGTCCCAGGTGTCGGCAGCTTTCTCTCTGGTCTCACGAAGCATGAGCTGAAGGATGAGGACTTCCCCAAAACCGCCACGCGTCCCGTGGCTGCGAAGCTGGAAGGTTGGAAGAAACAAGAGAAAGGCTGGCCAGGTTATGATCTTTTTGTTTTTTTGCTTAGTGATTATTTTTTGATTAATTATTTACTTATTGACTTATTTATATATTTGTTTTGTTTTGTTTGGGATTATGTTTAAAGTTTTAGCGATGGAAGGATCATTTGTGAGGTTAGTTGACCCTGATGGGGACCAGCCACTTGAGTTTTTAACATTTATGTACGTCAGATTACAAAACGGATATAGATGGATATAGCATGGTTTGCCTTTGAAATCCTTTGAATCACACTTAAATTTGCTGGCCTTTTTCCAGTGGCTCTCTTGTCTCCAAAGGCGTGTTGCGCAGGCTACAGTGACTTTGTGCTTCTCAACGTATTTCTCCTAGCTTTTGATGTAATCCCATCCCGTGATCATATGAAATAAACCGTGGTAAACCGGTCATAAACCGGTCATAAACCTGTCATAAACCTGTCATAAACCTGTCATGGATTCCATCCCGAAGACATCAGCGTTTAACGGGTTGGATTCCATTGATTCCATCCCCAGTCATGGTGTGGGAATTTTATGGCAGAGCTGATCATCTTGGGAGCCCCGTTGACGATAGGTTGACGTCCATAGCTTGGGTAATGTTTGGGCTTATGGGGGATGTAACATGATGTAACGATAAGTTATAAACCAGCAAGTCAATAACTATCATAACTTTTTTGGGCCTCAGCTTGTGACTGAGGAGAATTTATTGACTTGATGAAGCACAGCACGCCCTTTGAAGATGGCCAAGAGAATGGCATTGTTGGAGATGACGCCAGTTGGGTTCATTACAACTGGCCAGAGGCGCGCTAAACTCCTTATGATGTCGAAGACAAGCAGTGAGGTGTTCCAAGATCAGTTATTTTGGAGACCTGCCCGCTGATATTTCGTTTTTTTTTGACTCATCTACAGGAAAACTCAAAAGTTGGGGGTAAAAGACTCAATGATCAGCCCAACATGGACACGAACACTTCATTCCGAATGTGTTAAATTAGCTAAACCATGGCACATCAAATTCCTGATCTAAATAAATCCATTGACAAAGCATTAGTGCATGGTTTCACCACTTTGGATGATTGAGCCATCATTTTTCCATGGTTTAATCATGGTTTAACCATGGTTTAAGCAGCGTTTTTGATGCTGAAAGCTAGGGAGCTGCCAGGGCTTTCAGCTCACCTTCCGCAGAGATGGCTATCCGGAGAGTCTGCCGACCTTCACTCAATGGGGTCACTTGGTTGAAGCCCTCGTGCCTCATGGGGGCCTGGGGTGATGACGGTTACCCTCTGGTAAACATACAAAAAACTATGGTTACAATCACCATCTTTAGTAGGAAAATCGGAAAATCAACTATTTTTAACATGGCCATTTCAATAGCTATATGTTAAGTTACCGGAGGGTAGAATCATCAAGGTTTAATGGTTGATATATCAAACTAGTTAACGGGGTTGGAACAAATATAGCTATCTTGGTTCCAGCAGTTGTTTTAATCAGGATAGTTCTGACACGGGATTGACCCCCCCCATATTTTACATTTTTTTTTATTGGAAAACATGATTCACCAGTGGATGGCTATCTGGGATGTTGGCAGTAGCCCCGTCATCGAACAAATCCAGGACGGTCGTCCGTGTAGCACGTGGAATGACCGGGATTGGGCTTATCTTCCCAATGATACGTCTGCTACAAATGGGTTCCCTCTTGTAAACTAACATAACTATGGAAAATCACCATTTTTTATGGGAAAATCCACTATAAATGGTCATTTTCAATAGCTATGTTAGTTTACCAGAGGGTAATCGATTAAGGCAGGAATTCTTGTTTTTCTTTGGGTTCCTTAAAAATCCAAGATATTTGGTGAAACACAGTGACTCAGGAATTTTTTGGTGAGCGGGCTTGAAACCACCAACCAGATTTGCGGTGGTGAAATTTGGACAATTCTGGACACCTAATCTTGGTACACTTCGATAACAGGCACCATGTTTGTTACTTAATCTTGGTTTCAGTTTTTTCAAGCATCAACTCACCTAAGAATGGAGGATGCCCCACAATGGCAAATTTCATGGGAAACATGATGAGTAAACTATGGGATGAAATGAGACACCCATGGGCACCCTATTTTCAAACATCCACTGGTGCCGACCTCAGTGACCCACACCGTAGATGACTCTGCTTACGGGACCCCAATAAACCTTTAGTCCCAAGATGCTTCAGAGTCTGAATGGTTTCAGGGACCCCCCCATTTTTGTTGGTGATCGCAAAAAAATCCCTGAGAAATAGCTCCTTAGTCCGACCAACTTGGAATCCATTGAGGTGGATATGGGTAAAAACTGGCGGAAATTGCAGAGTTGGGTCATTTGTGTTCATGTTCAAGCTCCAAATTTTCGGGCAACCGCTGGTAAACCAACATAGCTACTTAATAGAATATGATAGACTCATAGACAATCACGAAGACTGCATGAATTCGCTATATCAACGGACCATTTTCCCAGTTCTTTCATGGTTCCCGTCTCCAGGAAGTGAACGACAAAGTTCCGTCAAGGCCACCATTGGCAACGGTGGAGCGTTCGTGGAAGATGGAGAATACGTCCCAAGCCGTGGGTGGATGGGTTTTTTCGGGACGATTTCCAGCAGCTAAAATGGAGGTCTACACCGGGTAGCCGGGTAGCCAACGGGGATGCCAAGTTTTTTTTGATTTCTGGAGCAACTTTAGAGGAAATGGAAGATATATGAGCTTAGCTTAGCTATTTTTCATGATGGGAAAACCCAGAGGATCCCATGGGTTGTACTTCTTTTGACTTTCATCAACTAAAAGGTCAATCGGATTTTACCGCGATCAGTTGGTATCACTGGATATTTTTCGATGGATCATCTTACCCATCCGAATGCTACCGATGATCCCAATGGATACAGCGATTTTCTGTCCCGGATCTGATAGCATTCCGAGGTTGCTACCTGGGAGGGCAATGGCAATATCTCCTGGGAAGGTGATGCTTCGCTGCTGCAAATGCAGGAGGGCTTGGAAAAGCATGGGTTGCTAATGGTTGCTATGGGCGGCCATAGGTTGAGGGGTTGAAACCTACGAATTTAGGGAAGTTTCGAGCAGGGCAAAATTAAAGTGAACATTTTGGGATTTTGAAACTGCAAACATGTAGAATTCTAGATTTTGTGAGCAAAATCATGGAGAATTTGGACTTGATCAAGGCAAAGACCCAAAATTTCACCAAAGATGGGGTTTCGAATTCCAGCAAACAATTAGAATTCAGTTTAACCAGCCAAACATGAGGGATTTTGACAAACCAAAGAAAATGAGACCTTAACTCAGAAAACAAATGTAAACAAGCATTCCAATCAACAAAATATTGCGTAGGAGTTGGAGTGTCAAATTTCTATTCACTTCATATTTGTTCGCCAAATGCGGTGTTTCACCCACCGTTTCACAGTCAGATGATGGCCGCCTTTTCACATTGGGAAAGTCCCGTCGGCGAATCTTTCAGGATAGTCATACAGCGCGCATCATGGTTCAGCCACAGAGTGGTAACTTGGAGGGGAACGTGTGGGGAGGCACGGCTTCCGTGGCTGACATGTTTTGCATTGGCCATACATTGCCATAGATGGGAATATAGTAGAAAATAGAAGATAAATAAATAAATAAATAAATAATTAAATAATTAAATAAACAAAAAAATAAATGAATATACCCTGTCGGTCCAAGTCCTCGCTAAACTAGGCCTTTGCTAAAGGCCTGGTTAAACTAGGCCTTTAGGACTGAGGTTTTCTCTATATGATTATTTTTGATGTCGTATTTTTGTGAGACTTAGCCGAGCAAGGTCCCACCCCCAAAAGATATCCAACGCTTGAAAAAATTAGGGCGCAACTTCGAAATTTACGAAAATAGTGGCACCGTGAAAAAACCGTGAAAAGGCCATGAAAAGCCAGTGAAAACCCCGTGAAAAGGCCGTGAAAAACCCTCAAATCAGGTTTGTGCAAATGAGGCCTTTAGTCATTTAGGTCCTTTCCTCTAACGGCCGTGTTAAACTCGTCCTTTGGACTGACTGGGATATATAATCCGGACAATGTATATACTAACGTAACGTAGGCTAAAACTCTAAAACAATCTAAGCTTGGCGATGATCATATGGGCTGTTTGGGCTTCTAAAGTTGCCTAAAATCTGCTCAAACCTACGGTCGCACCCAGGTATCGTGGTGCGCATCGTTCAAACGGATGACAGTGATCCGCTACGAGGTATCAGTCTAGTTCCGGATGCTTAGCCGAGTTGGTTGCTGTGATGCCTGATTTAATGTGATACCCAGGTTCTCAAGATGTCAAAGTGGGTTTCTTAAAATGGCTAAATTGGAAATCTTTTGGCCAGGATATTAATAACGACGTTTATTCGAACTACAATTTTTGCTGGGTGTTTGGCTTTTTTAGGGGCGCAAATTGAGCAACTATGAGCAACTGGAAGCGAAACCACTTGAGGCAACTGTCAACTGAACAACGGAACTGGGTATGTGACAGGGGAATGGCTCCAGTCACGAAGACCAAGCCCCAATCTTTCGGGCACAGAGGTGAGTTTGGCAGAGAATGCAACGGCGCAAATCTTCCATCCTCGTTTTCTGGAGATGCTGAATGGAACTGCTGTGCTACGCTTCTCCCTGTGGCAGATGGTGGCCGCTTGGTGCAACGGCAGGTGAAAGCCAACAAAAGTCGTCCGCGAAATGGGTCTGTCTGAAAATGGTGGGATCCTACTGATTTCACATCTTCAGAGAAATCCATTTTCTTCGACGATTGTCCAATTTCGATGACCAGCATTTCCATCGAAGATTTTGAGTCACTTTCACATTTTGAGACAACATAGACAACTATACAGGTGGTATTCCCATGATATCCCCATCTTACACAAAGGCGCATATTACCCCTGCGGCCAGGATGTCTGGGAACATGAAGGATCCCAGACGCGAGTCTGGGAGAACCGGACCCTGCCGACGGATCAGACGCAAGCAGGTCACTTGAACAGACTGTCACAACAAGGTGAGGGCCCCCGAAAAACGAAATCGCGACATGTTGAAGTTGACGCCCAGTTCACTTTTTTGGTGAATTCTAGGGTTGATTAGATATTAGAGGGATAATTATAACATAAATAGAACATTATATACCATGATATAACATGATATATATAATTATAACATGATATAACTATAGTTTTTATTTTAGTAAACAAACACATAATGGGGTCAGAAACCTCTAAACAAACACTGTTTGACTGGGCTCACCTTGAAGGGGACTCAACAAATGTAACTCCTCCAATAGTCATTTCATCTGATACTTAAATGGTAGCCTCCCAATATCTCCCAGCCGGGCTAGGGGTTTCTCAGCGGGATGATCATCTGTCGAGGCAAATTTGGAGTTTGCGTGGAGTACATGGTTGAGCTGGCGAACCGACTGGGTGCAGACCCCTGGTTTTCCATGCCCAAGGCCAAACAGGGCCTGACCTTTTAGGCAAAGTCAGAAGCCGAACACAACTCATGGATGATTGAAATCTTCGCAAGCCACTAGGTCACTGTGTGTCACTTATGTTACATAATTCTCAGCAACAACTGCAACAACATATCATGATATACCATCTGGTTATGACTAACAGCTCGCCATGGAAAATCACCATTTTTAATAGGTGAACCATCTATTTCTATGGGCCATGGCTCTACCATGGCTATTGGATCTGGCCATGTAGGCAGCAGCCACGGAGTCCGACTCAGTGGATCCTTATGCTGTTGCTTTTGCTGCTCGGACGACTCGGCGAGATTTTGACGCTGTGACGGGTCATGTTGTCATGTGTTTAAAGACCATCCAATAAAAGCAACAAATTTTGCCGAGTTTTCAGGACTAAGTTAAGTGAAGTGTTTCTATAATATTTTCTAAGTGTGTTGATATAAATAGCACTATACACATATAGATCGACAAGTTGAACTCCTGGAAATGATGCGGGAAACATGATCTGTGACAGTCTGGAGCAATTTTTTGGCATCTTATTTTTTTGGTTGCTATATCTTATACTTTAACTTGGGGGTACTTGTACCCCAAGTTCGACCCAAAGCCAGTTGTCCCTGGCCGTTTTTTTTTCAGGATCGGATACTGGGAGACCTTCGGAGTAAGACTTCACTTCCAAAAAATCGTTTTTTGCAACGTGGACAATCCAATGATAAAAGGAATATGAGCACCAAATTTGTGATATTGTTGGGAATTCAGTATCATTGTACGAGAGTTTTGTGAACCTCAAAGCCCAAACCATCGTCCCTTTACCAGTCATGGAAATGATAAACCAATGCCAATTTGAGGTTGTGGAATCTGGGTATACCACATTTTTATACATTGAGAGTCCCCAAACTCGCGACTCATTGGCTTTCACCAATGAGGATGGGTCAAAACCTATTGATTTTCCATCAATTTAAGGGTGGATGAACATCCATTTGCCAGCGATTTTTTGGGTAAACAGAAGGGGATGACAGGTGAAATCACCAGCCACTTCTATGGTCCCTTCCGAAAAAGATCTCCCACTGGGGTATCTCTGCAGGCAACACTTGTGAATGAAACACTTCAGAGCAATCTACGAGTCTATGTGGAGTATCTTGGCTTTGCTGAGTCGGATGTTTTTTTAAGCATCAATTAAATATAGTTAAATCTGGCAAGAATTGGGGATCTGGGAGGTCGATAGCAGCCCCCTTTTCTAAGGTGAATTGATGTTTCGGCATCTTTTTGGGGGTTACCTGGATGATGGATTGATTTGGGGGTACCCTATTGTCAGAAAAAAAAAACCTAACATATTATTGTTGGCTACATATTCGGTTATATCCCATGATTTCCCATTAGATTATCTCCCATTATACAGAATTCTTAAACCCCTGAAAGATGTTGTCGATTTTTTGGAGTCCCTTTTTCTCCAAGGTATCGATCGTGTTGTCGCGCTGGTTTGGCTCCCGGATGGGACTCAGATCCCTGGCGAATCAAAGACCCAAGCAACAAGATGAGTACCCTCTGGTAATGACTAACATAACTATTGAAAATGACCATAGAAATAGTGGATTTTCCCATTAAAAATGGTGATTTTCCATAGTTATGTTAAATTACCAGAGGGTAATGTTAAACTGCTACACCGTGCCGTCTTCTTGTGTTTTAATGTATTTTACTGTTTTACTCCCATGCTTTGGCCCCAACGTACGGAGAAACTCAAATTGATGCCTCTTTTCTCACTTTTTGAAATCAAGTTGTGGTGTTTCGGAAGGACAATGCAGTGCAATCATTGGTCTTATGGCAGAGCTGGGAGCAAGCATTTGATCCAGCACGAGTCATCAATGTGCCTTGGCACTGAAAAAAACAAATTCCATGGATGATTTTGGCCAGTTACCATCTGGTTATTTAACATAGCCATGGAAAATGGCCCATTCAAAGATGGTTTACCTATTAAAACTGGTAATTTTCCATGGCGAACTGTTAGTCATAACCAGATGGTAAGAGATGTGGCTCCAGGCCCCCCAAAACATCCGCTACACCAGGCATCTCCACGCGCTGGGTAATATCCCTCACCAGCGGTGTGTTTGCGTCAGGATAAGCATGGATATTTATCGTGGTTGATGGGGATTTATAATGATTTTTTTTTGGATATTTAGCCTCTGGTAAACGTTTACATAGCTGAAAGATCCACCCATTTTTGATGGGTAAATCCACTAAGCTGTAGAAAGATCCACCCATTTTTGATGGGTTTTTATCCACGATTTCGACTGGGCCATGGCTTCAATGTCGCTATATTTTTAAACGTTTACACTGGGCCGGGTAGTGATATAAAATTCTGGATTTATAGGGATGATCCGTTGTGTCACTGATCCAACGATCGATCGTCTAAAAAAACTTAAAGCCATTTTGGTTGAACTAAAGAAGTTAAAGACTCCCCAATAATTACTGTAATTATCCTAGAAAATTAATCCAAATTTTGGTAAAAAACTAAGTTCAAGAATCAATGATTGAGTTGAAATCTCCTGTAATACCCTGGATTCTCGATCTTGAGAATCCATTCGCAGATCATTTTCCCACCGAACATGGCGTCCTTGGAAAGCCGAGGTGATGTCGGCGCTACCGCAGATGACGAAACTTTACGGCAGCGATGTGAACAAAGTGGAAGCCGCAGCCATCGACGTCTCGTCGCTTGGAATGACCTGGCTTTCACCTGGCGAGCCTAGGAGCTGCACAGCAAGGCCATTTTTAGAGCCATGAGGCTAGCCATGAAGGGGGCTTCCTAAGTCATGGGGGTACATCCAAATCATCCAGTTGTCATGGTTTCACTGGGATGATCTAGAAATGGTGGTGAAAATCCCCTACGAAACAATGGTTTATGAGGGGTGTTGAGTATTAGAACGGGATTAATGATGGAGGAATTTCGATGTTCAAAGAATTGAATGATATATAGTGATAAAATAGTGAGAGTGCAAGAAAGTTAAGTTTTCCCAAATTGAATTTCCATGTCTTTGAGGGGTACTAAACATGATGGTTGTGACTGGTGGTAGGAAGAAGGGCCGACAAGTCTGAGAGATCTGGAGAGTTGGTATACAACTTATACCCCGATGACGAAGTAATAGTTTTATTCACCATAAATAAACCGTGGACTTCACCAAGTTATGTCAACTTCGATATATAATGATATATATATATATCCGTATATATATATACATATCTTATAAATAATAAGTATATATATATATCATACTTATTATATATTATATTTATATTATATATTTTATTTGTATTATATATTATATCTGTTATATATATATATATATCAGCTATCGATACAAATCCCACATATGATCCCATATAATCCTATATGAAACCATACTATATTGTCTTATCGTGGGGTACTTGCCATGTGTAGGCGGCACAGTCATTTGACGTGATGTTCAAGGACCATAGTGTTGATGCATTGGGTATTGCACTTTTGGCATGAATTCTGCATATTAAAGGGATGGCTGTAAATCGAAAAGCACGCTACATATGGCACAGGAATATTGCCTACTTGAAGGGATATCATGTGGAAGAAGAATTCGTTTTTTCAGAAACGAATGCTGCATTTTTTAGATTTTAGAGGAATCCTTCATAGTTGTAGGGGTATAGTTTGTTGAAAAAAAACATTGTACTTTTTCACAGGAAAATGCACCTTAATGAAACATGTTTCTTTATAAGCTGGGGATACTTCATTGTTTCGAACAGGAATGCACTATCTTAAACTCATGCTACATATTATAGAAACATGTTTACCCCTAAATGGAAGGCTGTACATCTTTAGGGAGGCCCTGCATCTTTTAGAGCACAAAGGGTATGTTTTGCAAGGGATATTGGAAGGTTCAGGAAACTATTTCAAGAATATTCTATAAGATGCACATATGTTTCAATATGTTTATTCCTGAATTGTGTGTCTTTACATTTATGATTCATGATCATTTATGGCTCTTTGACTCTGATGTATTTACTGAATTGCATTAAATAAGAACAACATTTTTCACAAGGAGACTCTTAAACAAGAAATATAATGTGAATTTGATAAGATTTTGCATGGGAATTGCATGGAACTAGATGTCCAATAATTGCAGAATAAAAACCGGCCTTTCTTGATTTATGGCAATTTTGAGCACATAGTTGGGTGAAAAGTAGCATATAGTTGGGTGACAGATACAAGTATGTGCTTAAAGTACAACCTGTTCATATCTGGATCAGAAGGATTTGCACAAAAGAATGCCATGCATTTTTGCAAATTTTCTGCCGCTCACAACAGTCCCCTCCCTTGATATTCGTTGGTATTGAATATTGGGAGATATCCTCTTGCCACGACAGTGGCACCGAGCTGTGATGGTTCCCCCCTGCCACCAGTCCACGCAAGGTTTTCAGATGTGTGCAAGTATGGTGAGACACCTTGCGTGGACTTCAATGCATTAGAGGCACCCTGTTGGGGATACCAAGGGGATTGTGCTTCAAGCGGTGCTCGATAAATGTTGGTGGTTTTGGTCTGGCGATTTCAAATGATACGTTGATATTGACATGATTTGGCACGCTGTTTGATAGGATAAAATTTAATATATATATATACACATATATATATTTATTTATATATTATATTTTACTCAGTTGACCAGTGACCAATGAATTCTATTACCATTATATCCCAAATATATGTCCACTTTAGGAATCCCCCAATTTGTGTCCATTATTGGTGGTCCTGTGCCATGGTATCTCCAGTATATCCGCGTTATATCACCAGGTGTATCCCTACTTGCAAGTGCAGTTCCAGTGAACTAAGTAGATAAATATAGCCATAGCGGCTTAGCCCCCCAACAAACATGTATATCTACAAATTCCAAAGTTGCCATAGTGATATCCGCTAAACTCCCCCCATGGCCCCCTCCAGATCTAGGCCAATGCTACCTACGGTGGTCTGAGTCCGTTGCAGCTGATTGATGAGGTGGTCCGGCCGGCCATGCTGAAGCAGGAGGTGGAACCTTGACCAACAGAGCGTATGCTATATGCTGAACGCATTTATAGTGTATATAATAGATAGATAGATTCTGATAGATAGATTAGATTAGATTAGATTAGATGAGATTAGATAGATAGATACAGAGACAGACAGACAGACAGACAGATAGACAGGTAGACAGGTAGATAGATAGATAGACAGATAGACAGATAGACAGATAGACAGATAGACAGATAGACAGGTAGACAGATAGACAGATAGACAGATAGACAGATAGATAGATAGATAGATTAGACAGATAGATAGATAGACAGATAGATAGATAGATAGATAGATACATCCATGCATGCATGCATGCATGCATGCATACATACATACATACATACATACATACATATATATATATATATATGCACACATACTATCTAAGTGTACAATTGCAGCACTTCTGCGCTACATCCCTATTTGATCTTTTGAGAATCTTAGCCAACAACAGTGGAATCTGTTTCAGTCAATCGAACCCCGCCATCTAACCTGTAGCTGACCAGCAAGATGGCCCTGATGCTGGGATCATGGGGGATCACCCATCTCTTAGCTGGTTTAAACCGTCCAAAACAGCTTGGATTTAATGGGTGTTCATCCAATTTCATCCCAAAGGTGCGATGATAACCTATCCACCCCCATCTCCAAGGAATTTAGCCATCACCGCATTGGAAGTCCAAGATCTCCAAGATATTCACATGCGCCGGTTCCTCCAAGATTCCCAAACCTTTCCTGAGGAAATTAATGCGAGGGTGCAGCAGGCACTCTACTATGGTTTCGAGCCAGCAGGTTGCATTTGGCCAGTGCTTCTGGCTTTCGGGATTTCACCAACGGGCTTGATCCAGCACTCAGGGGATTAAGTTTGGATGGTTGACATTTATACATACCCCAACCAAACATATCAATAATGATTAATATATCCATACTCGATAGTTGGGTATATGAGTATATCAATACTTCTAAGTTATATAACAGTGTTTTTCTCTACCCATGAGATGATATTCCCCCTAAAATTGTGGATGGATCGAAACCTACTATACGATCTTTTAGGAAATGACCTATACGATCTTTTAGGAAATGACCATCCATTTGCCAGTTAAGGCATAAGATGCCAGAAGGACAGTTCAGAATCATTGTAAGAGAATGGCAAGCTCTGGCCACTTTCCATGTCCGTCCTTCCCTCAAGGATCATTGCGTTCGATGCCATGCCGTTGATCTCTGCCGGAGCCCAAGTTCAGTGAGATTTTCAGTAGAGGATGACCAATCATCAGCCAGCACAACTTGTTTGTACAGCCTTTGCTGAAGTTGATGTCAGTGAATGTGCCAGATTTTTGAACTTTGGTCAATCCACGATTCGAATTCCATGTTGAAATTACTACCAGGAACACGTTGCCCTCAGGTTCAATCTAAGCTGGCACCAGAAATCCCCTATGTGTAGATGGTTGGTGTACGTATTTTTTTCCCCCACCTGCCAGGTGAGTTGCTTTGTCCTCCCTCCTTCTTCTTCTCCAGCAGACTCGGATCTCAACTGCGAGCGCCAGATCTCAGTGGGCACTGCCGGATCTCAACCGCGAACGGCAGATGTCAGATAGAATGCCACAGAGAATGCCAGATAGAATGTCAGATACGTCAGGTAGAATGCCATATAGAATATCGGAAGATATATATATATATGTGTGTGTGTGTGTCAGAAAGAATGCCAGACGGAATGTCAGAATATATATCAGAGAGAATGCTAGATATTATGTCAGAATACATGTCAGATAGAATATCAGTTGGTGGGGATCACTCGAAGAAAGTAATTCTCCCTATTGATTGTTGGTAAAGCCCCAGTGGCCCATGAGGGATCTTTCGTTTTCTAGATGATTTAATGAGTTGACCTTCATTTCCCTTTTTTTTTTCAGATGGCTATGAGTCAAAACCCTGGAATCCCAAGTACCCTAAAATAGCCGGTTTACAGACTTCGGGATTTTCGGGATTTTCTTTCAAAGGTCGCCCCCGTCGAAATTGCTGATAGCTCCCATGTGTGCCATATGTCCCATGGTCCCAGATATTTTCATGGTATATTTTTGTGAGGAGATAGTGGGATATAGAACCATCTATCATCAGAGATTGGATATATCCAAATATTGAGAGATGGTCATCAATCTATAAAGTTCGGGATTTATGTATACCCATTGTGTTTGGGACCTTCAAGGCATGGGACAACCAAGGCCCGAGGGTATGGCCATCGCGGCAATCTGAACTGGGCGCTGGGCTGCGAGTCTTGTTTGATGCGAACGCTGGGACGACGCTATGGCGAGAGGCGCCCTTGGCATCACGTGTGGCCATGATTGATCTATATGTTCTCTGGAAATATGGGATGTTTTTTTTTTTAATCAAAATTCGGGACACTGGAAAATTTGAAGAAAATGGCATGACAATGACATTTTAATGGGAAACATGATGGTAAACCATGGAACCTGGCAATAGAAAGTCCACAAAAATCTAAAAGTTCCAACGGTACTTCATGCAGTAAAGAATCCAGGCATCCAGATCATCGCACCATTCAGTTGCTGCATGGTGTTTTTTTCGATATGTCACACATTGGAATCGTGACATTGTTCGTTGGAAAACACATCATCTAAATAACCTTACTGGTGCTAAACGTAGGGAATGGATAGGAATGGGGGAATGGGATGATTATTACTATAGTGACTATAGTGATTGTGGATCATTCCCTCATTCCCTACTAAGCACCAGTAAGTACCCTCTGGTAAACTAACATAACTATGGGAAATCACCATTTTTAATGGGAAAACTCACTATAAATGGCCATTTTCAATAGCTACGTTAAATTACCAGAGGGTAACATCTACAGAATCACGATAAACAACCTGAAACATGATTACGTTGAATTGTCCCTGTCTCGCTTCAGGGAGCAAACACAGTTAGCAGTGGATGGATGGGTCCACGAGGTGCGAGGCTGAAGTGTCGCTGGCTGGGTAGATATCCCTTATTTCATGATGGGAAGACCAATTGAAAACCCCAAGATTTCATGTTTTTGTTTGAACTTCCCAAATAAAATGGCCATGAATTGGGGGTATGCACTATTTTCAAAAACACCCACGCAAAGGGGCTGTGATTGTTCTTGAACCAGTTGCGAAGCATTTTGTATCAGAGAATATTCCAGTGGGACCAAGGATGGGTTTATGGATTATGGATGTAGTGGGTATGAGACCAGAATACATGGGAAAGAATGGGTTCATGACCAACCACCATAGGGAGCGAATGGGTGTGGTCGCCCTTGCCAACCCAGGGCTGATCTCAGTTGGCTGAAGGCTGACCCTGCAGTATCAAAGGTGAGGAAGGTGATGATTAGTGGCAACTGGCCAGTCATTCCATGCTTGCTGGCCAAAGTTCTATGGTTTTTGTGTGAATTCAGATTGTTGTACATCATACACCCATTTTCCGGCGCTCAACTGGTCCCATGATCATTGTTGCTGAGACTACAACTGTTCAAAATCACTTCAAACTCTCATTTTGGCAACATTTCCAGCCCCAGTTTCATCGTTTTTTCCTTTTTTTTCCTATGTTTTCCTATTTTTTCCCTCCAACCTCCAGCCCTTCCCTTGCTTTTGTGAAGCCCTGACCACAAGTCACAAGATCCAGGTGGATTTCCAGGCGTATGCGGCCTATCAGGGCATCGCTGAGGAGGATCGTGCAGTGGATTCGGAAGGCGACACGGCTTGGGGCTGGGGATGTCCTCATTTTGTTCGCTGAATCATCCAAGATATCCAAGATCCATGGCTATGGATCAATACCTATTAATACCATTTTTAGTGGGATGAACATCCATTTACCAGCTATTTTGATGTTCACCAGGGGTACAAGGTTTTGACACACTGCCATATCCAAGATCCATGGGGATTCATGTTTTTTTTTATTGATCCCATATTTAAGGATACTATGAGGGATATTTTTTTTGATCTTATGGGATTTCATTTGGGATACTTATTGGGATTTCATTGATCCCATATTTATCTATAAATGATTTTGTAGATAGATTGGGAATGTAACCAACATTGTGGGACTTAGGAAATGATGTTTATTTGCGTGAACATAATAAGGGAATATACATTTTGCAAACTGGAAAATCCTTTTTTTTTCATCGGTAGATCATCCAATCAAATGGGGATATTATGGGCATATATTATGGGATTCATATGTCCCAATTGAAAGTTATATATATACCCTATGGCAATTGAGCGGTTTGTGAACCGGAAAATCACCATCTTAATTCAGGGTCTGCGCTTTTTTGTATGTTTTGGGGAAATCATCAAAGTCTGTGTTTTATGTGTGTGTGTGCGTGTTTTCATCAATAAATCATTCAAACACATCTTCTTTACAGCATGTTTACCCGGATTCAATTGTGGAATTCAGAGAGTTGATTGCATGCGCTTTGCCACCTTTGTGCACTTTTGGGAATGGGGTTAATGCACGGTTGCTGCTATGTGGGGGGAGGGGCAGGACGTAAAAAAAGAAGACATTTGAAAACATGGAATTAACTCCAAAAATACTTTCTACATTAAAAATGAAAGCACCTAAAAAATTAGATGCTTGTACTTTCCGGCAGGATCTTATCTAATTTAAGTGACCAGAAATTACGCATGCATTGCTGCATGACTTAAGACCTGATTTCCAGAACTCTTCTCACACAGAAACAGTACACACACAAAAGTGAAAAGTTAGTATATATACTTGCAAATGTAATTTTTACGTGCAGAAGTAAGTAGCCCCAGAAGAAGCCAAACAAACAACAGGATCTTATCTTATCCAAAAAGTATGTGAAATGCACATTTGGATTTGCAAATCCAAAAACTTGTGACCTGGTTTCCAGGACTCAGTTCACAAAGTGTAATCTTAATTATTGTAAAATTGTATACGTATACTGACGAATTTGGTTTGACATGCCAATGAATGTAATCTTATCACGCAAATTATACATGCATAATTTGAGACCTGCGTTCAAACAAGGACTCAGTTCACACAGGGATAATTAGTACATGTAGGTATCAAAAATATCAAATCACACATGTTTGTTTTGACATGTAATGAACGTAACCCTTGGAAATTTTCCAACAAGACCTCAACCAAAAATGTAAACAAGAAAATAGCAAATGCATACAGCTTGAACTTGAGACCTGTTTTCCAGGGCTCAATTCATACAGTGTAATATGGTATATCCCCTTGCGTCCTGTTTGTGAGCTGAGTTCTGGAAACCAGGTCTCAGGTCATGCGTTTGGACAAGATCATGTTTGATTTATTGTTTTTTTCTTCATTTCTGCAGGAAAAAAAACGGACATTTGTAAGTATACCATCTTTCCACTTCATGTGTGTGCGCTGTTCCTGTGCGAGCTGCGTTCTGCAAACCAGGTCTCAAGCCATGCATTTGTAATTTCCAGTCATATGTTTTTTGGGTAAGATCCTGGCGGAAAGGAATTTCTACTTACCTTTCCACGCCAAAAACACAAAATGTTACGCTTTCTTGACATAACCGCCAATTGCGCATGATAACATATTGTATTTCGATGTGTTTCCCTTGCTTTCTTTTTCGTGCCTTACTTAGCACATGATGTGACAGGAAAAACCACACCAACGAATTTCACAACTGATGCTGGTGACACTTGCATCCATAGCCTTGGCAATTCAATGAGATTTAAAGATGTATTTGACATATCACAGATATGCTGAGCGACTTTGATCGACCCAGGATAGCAGAGCCTGTAATAGGTAAATTGATGGATCATCCAACTAAATGGGGATGATATAATGACATATATTATGTTTCTCCTTGGAGCCCGCAAACCTTGGAATCGTCTCTGCAAAACGGCATGAACTGGCCATATTCATCGATATGAGATGCCCCCTGGTAAACTAACATATACTAACATAACTATGGAAAATTACAATTTTTAATGGGTAAAACATGGCAAAACAACTATAAATTGGCCGTTTTCAATAGCTATGTTAGTTTACCAGAGGGTAATCGATCGTAAAACCCTCAAACATTGGACATTACCCAAAGGAGAGAATACACCTCTTAAGTTGAGAATATTGAGCAACAACATCAGATGGGTAGAACAACTTCAGTTCAAAATTGAGGGTGTAAATCTTCAAAAACACATCTTATAGGGGGTATTTTAATCTAAATGAGGGTTGCTGGATGTTGCTGGTGATTATGAACTAAACACCTAGGTTCTGGTCAACTTCGAAGTTGGGAGTATGAATATGTATAAATCTTCAAATACTTAAACATAGTGTGGATCAACTTGTAATCACCAATACCAACTGAAGATTGGGGATACAAAAAAGGAGGGTTGTATAGTACCTATACAACTAGAGAATCCTTACAATCGGGTGGTATTAACCAGCACAATCATGTGGCTATTGACTTACATATGGGTGTTAAGTTACTTTTGTAGGGAGTATGCTCGAAAATCAAACATGGAGGTACAGAACAAACCCTAAATGATGGTTTATGATTATTTGGGTTGGAAATTTCAATTCTTATCGAGGATCTCACCTGCAAATATGGTAATATGGGGACCCATATGGAAATCAACCGTCAGATGGGGATATGAACTCGTTTTACGGGGATCCTGACCTCTCAAAGTCAAGCAAAAATGGGATTGACCAAATTGACCAAGGTTTCAAAGTCGCTGTCCAAACTGGTCAGGTAACTATTGGTTGGTGGGCACACCTGCAGAGGCCAAAGCTCAGTGCCACTCCATGTAGCTTGATGGCACCGCGGCGGTATGGCAGTTAAGGAGAGGGTAGTTTTGACCCCTAGTCATCTGAATCTCAGTGTCATGAGAAAACCAAAAAAAAGTGGGCAACCTCAGCATGATACCAAAGAGACTTCTGATCAATTCTGAAAAAGTCTCCCATCCTGGGTGATTTTTGGCTCCAAAAATCTCCAGCCTAAGGTCCCACTGTGATGGTTTCACTTACTTCAAATCCGGTGAATGGAGCTGCGGAGTGCCTTGGAACATGCGACGTGCTACCTGGGTCTACCATGTTTGTCACTTTTGCATCACGAAATTATTGAAGGCAGGATGTGATAAGTTTATTGTTTGTAAAATGGGCTACCCATGCAATTTGATAGTTTCTCAGTTTCTCATCGTTTTTCCTATACTAAAATTGGCCATTTGCATATAGTATAGTATACAGTATACTGGTATACTCCTGTTTTTCAGATACAGCAAGATGTCTTTTCAGCCATAAACCCACCATTTTCGCAGTTGCCGATCTTCTAGGTGGGCAACGACCATCGCTACGGCACCTGCGCCACACCGGGCTGCGCCTACTTCTTCAACCGCACGCGCATCGATTCGGGGGAGCGCAAGCCGCCCACGCACTGCTCGGCGTTTACGGTATATGGTGATCCCTGGAACCAATGCGTGGTTGGACGGTTGGATACCTATTTCAAGGTGGATGCCACTATTCCAGGCAGGAAGTTTGGGACCGGAACTGCACGGCCTCTGGTCTGCTGATGTAGATGGAAAAGTAATCCTCCTGCCAATTTCCACTACTAAATGCTATGACCTAGGTCCCGGAAAGTGAACCAAAAATTTAGTGTGAAATTTCTAGAAACCATTTAGTAGAGAATCATGATTTTTAAAAAAAAAATCAAGTAAACATCTCTAGACCCATGATCCACATTTAGTAGAGAGGTAAAAATGATATGTTAATCATATGGTGTCAAATGTTGTTTTTTGGGTAAAACCATTTAGTAGAGATGTCAAAAAATGTTGCAAAATCACAGGAACCATTTTGTAGAGGTTGCGAAGTAGAGTTCATAAAACGGTCACAATGAAATGAGACAAAACTGAAAAACCATTTAGTAGAGATTCCCATTCCGTTGCCCCCGATAGCCGTTTGGCCAATCCATGTCCATCAGGATGAATCACGTAAATCCAGATAGTATATGATAATAGATGCTCAAAAAAATAAGAAGCTTGAAAAATAAATATAAATTCTAGAATGCCAATGAATATCAAAGATATTCCTGGGTTGAAGTAAATCAACATGATCGGGTATACCGCGATATGAAACAACAGAAGTTGGACAAAGATAGCATCCTTGCGGTATCCTGCCATGCCGCCTCCAGTCTAGCCAAGTGCTGCCTCTACTAAATGGATGGTCATGGGATCAGTCTATCTAGAACTGTTTCAAACAAAGCCCTGTTGCATCCTTGTGTGCCCTATAATCCCTTACGCGCTATGGAACACCATTTTGTAGTCCCAAAATGCCCAAATTCTATCAAGATTTCCCCTGTCTAGCCAAGTGCTGCCTTGCCTTTTTTGGGGGCGATGCCAAATCCCTCGCTTGGGTGTTTCTTGCTCGTCGGGTGCTGCCTTTCGTGTTTGTTTTTTTTTGCCTTTTTTGGGGGCGATGCCAAATCCCTCGCTTGGGTGTTTCTTGCTCGTCGGGTGCTGCCTTTCGTGCTTGGGTTCTTTTGTTGCCTTTTTTGGGGGCGATGCCAAATCCCTCGCTTGGGTCTCGTCGGGTGCTGCCTTTCGTGCTTGGGTTCTTTTTTGGCTTTTTTTGGGGGCGATGCCAAATCCCTCGCTTGGGTGTTTCTTGCTCGTCGGGTGCTTACTAAATGGATGGTCATGGGATCAGTCTATCTAGAATTGTTTGAAACAAAGCCGTGTTGCATCCTTGTGTGCCCTATTATCCCTTCCGTGCTATGGAACACCATTTTGTAGTCCCAAAATGTCCAAAATCTGTCAAGATTTCCCCTGTCTAGCCAAGTGCTGCCTTGCCTTTTTTGGGGGCGATGCCAAATCCCTCGCTTGGGTGTTTCTTGCTCGTCGGGTGCTTACTAAATGGATGGTCATGGGATCAGTCTATCTAGAACTGTTTCAAACAAAGCCCTGTTGCATCCTTGTGTGCCCTATTATCCCTTACGTGCTATGGAACACCATTTTGTAGTCCCAAAATGTCCAAAATCTGTCAAGATTTCCCCTGTCTAGCCAAGTGCTGCCTTGCCTTTTTTGGGGGCGATGCCAAATCCCTCGCTTGGGTGTTTCTTGCTCGTTGGGTGCTGCCTTTCGTGCTTGGGTTCTTTTTTGGCCTTTTTTGGGGGGCGATGCCAAATCCCTCGCTTGGGTGTTTCTTGCTCGTCAGGTGCTGCCTTTCGTGCTTGGGTTCTTTTGTTGCCTTTTTTGGGGCGATGCCAAATCTAAATGGATGGTCATGGGATCAGTCATATGTGTTTCATGTTGTTTTCTCTACTAAATGGACCCCGTGTATTTCTCTACTAAATGGCTTTGGGGTTTTGGTCGAGTGATGTTGGTCCCGCAACATGTGCTCAAATGAGTACCTCTACTAAATGGAACAGGGTGTTTGGTCGAGTCATGTTGGTGTCTTAAGACACTCTGAAAATATATCCAAATTTTGCGCTTCAGCTGAACCAGGGGCCCACATTTAGTAGTGAAATTCGATCATGCATGCGCATCCATTTAGTAGAGCTTGAGGCTATGCAAGCCGTTTCTTCACTACAAAATGGTTGCACAGCCCCACCCCTTAATTGACAGGGGGGTGAAAAGTAGGAAATTAGATCCTGGGAATGGAGGGACATCAGAATGAGAAGACACTGTTCGGTGGAGCAGCCTTCGATACCCTACATGGATTCAGGTTTTGGGTTGTTTTAACATGTTTAAACCGACAAAATCCTACCGAACTCCAACATAAAACCATCAGATAGCTTCAAAGAACTGAGTGTTTCTTGGTTGAGCTATCATGTTCTATGAGGTAAAACCATCATTTTCTGGCATTTTCTAGTATAAAAAAAGATTTAAAAAAACAGTTTTCCCCTCCACTTTACCCTCTTCGCAGCAGGCTTCAGCAGCGCCGGCGAGGCAGATCTGGCGGCAAGGACGTCGTGCGTGGATTCGTCACTGGGAACTGACGTCATTTTGAAAGGGAACAATCATCCAACAACAATAGATGTTTAATATTGTTTAATGGTAAAACGGTAAAACCAACAATATACCAACAATATTGTTTATGGGAAAAGTATTAACAACATTTAACAACTGTTTTTTATCATAGGAATGTCATGGTAAAACAGATTTGACGGTAGATATAACTCCAATTTCAATAGGGTTTATGGAAACTATATAATACATATATATATATATATACATAGGTACTATGGTTATCCAACATCGTCCTTCACAAAATAGGACCTAGGAATATCATGGGAATATCATGAGTTTACGGTATCTATATGTATATATATATAGCTGTTACTATGGTTTACTATGGTCGACACATTAGTTTTCAATGGGAAAATCATGCAACTAAATGATAATATCATTGGGAACAATTGTGGGAAAAGTTGTTGGATGTATGAAAATATCATTGGGAATATCATGTCGGGATTTATATATTTTCGATATTTTATGGTGGACATAACTACAATTTCACTAGGGTTTATGGTATCTATATAGGTACTGTCCATTGTTTACTATGATAGATCTTTATTTTGGGATTTACTTTTCTATCTTTGGGGGGATGAGGAACAGGATGGGACTTAGAAATTTTTTCTGTTGGGTGAACAGATGGGAAATTTAAGGATATTCGAGCGAGAACATATGAGAACATAATGGCATACAGCGGGAAACATAGTGGGATCCGTATTCCCGTTTTATTGGAATGCTCCCTCCGCTCAGTAACAATGGAATTTGCTAGTTTATTTCATATGTTGATCCCTCCAGCACAGGTTTCTCACATTGTATCATATACCCTATGGTACTTGAACATAGGACAATCATCTATAAATGGTTGAGGCGCCCTTCCATGGTTCCCCAAGATATGGGTTTGTCTGACTGGAATAGGAAGCCCAAGCTTTCTGGGGTTGTTTAATATTATGGGGAAGGGATCATAACTGTAAGTGGTCCGGATACTCTAGTTACAATGGTGCTAAAGGTGATTTCAATTTGGATTCACGAAGTAAATACCCTTGGTACCTTAGTTATTTTGGATAGGTTATACTACGGTACTTATTACTTTTAGGGTTCCAAATAAATCCAGAATACCCTTGGTACTTATGTAGCTTTCTGGGAGTTGTTCAATAGGGATTACAACTCTAGGTGGTCCGGATACTTTTTGATCCCTTCTAGGCCCTTCTTCCTATTACTAAAACTCCCCAAATGACAAAAACTACCCCAGATTGTTCGTTTGGGACATTTCAGATTGGTCAATTTGACTTTTAATTAATCCCCTTTAGACAATAATTTCAAATCAAGGTCCCATTTGAAGGTTCTAACCCATCAATAATTAATAAACACTAGTTAACCCTGGGGTTTCTTTATGAGGGTCCAGTTTTTAAAATCAACCAGTTTAGTTTTCTTAATTAGAGTTTTTCGTTCAATATTATATAGGGGAAAGCTTCTAAATTCAATTTTTGACAATATTTTAATTAGATGTTTAAACGGATTTTGATCGATTTTGAAATCGACAATTTTTAGTTTTTTGTTCCACAAATTTTTAATTAAAATGATGGGCCAGCTTCTCCCCGAATATTCAATAGCCCCTAAAAACTAGCCCTAGGTTTTTTCTGATTTTGGGGACGTGTTTTTTCTTCGGGTTTTACGGGACCCATGGGATCCACTGGGAATGGTGAAAACACCTATTGGTGACTGGGGGATTGGATTTGAGGTGCAAGATCGCCTACACACCTGCACCGTGGGATCCTCCAGCAGAAGGCGCCGGAAGTTGTGGGTGACGGGTGAGGGTTTAGGGTGGTTGAAGGGTGAATTCTATGGTTTATGGTAGTGATATAGCATGATATAGCTATAGTATGCTATAGTTCATTGGGGGTTATAATAGAACTTATACTTGGAGATGGCCAGCTTGTAGAGGTTTGGAGATTAAAACCATTTTAAAGCCAGTCAACAAGTCAGAATCAGTGAAATGTCCATTCAATTTTGGGTTGTTTCAAAGGTGCTCAGCTGTGCCTGTGAACTAAAGGGAGAAATACACCTTGTTATCTTGGCCTGGAAGAAGCTCCTACACTGATTCCCAGGATGTTGCATCAATTGCTGGATTCTTCTGACCCTTCTACGCAGTAAAAGTCGTGAGCCCTTAATATATATATATATATATATGTATATACACAGTGGGTTCGTCCAAAACAGCGCTGAAATCTTGGAATTGTGTGGACAGTAAATAAGAGCCTTACGTTTGGACACGCCCGTCTTGTAGGCCCTAGGCAATACGACATATGATTCTGAATATCATTTGAACATATTCGAGAGACGATATCCAACTGGATGACAACATAATATACATGAGAAGTACACATTACCATGATATAGAACCTCATTATGTGATCAGAAAACTTACTTAGCTTCAGACAAACCCCACTATCATGTGGTTGTTTGTATCCCATGATATCCCATTATTTCAATTTGTGGTACAATTTGGTACAATAAATTGGCCACCTTGCTGTGTTGGGCTTGGTTCACTGTTGGGATCTGTTGGGTTGATTAGGGGTTTTTGACGATGGCTTCTCAACATTTTTCAAAGTTTACCTTGGGGGAACTCAATGATCTAAATGTAACTATCGTATCCATATGATTCCATTAGTTTATAAACTAACATTAACTATAGTAACTATAGTATCTAAATTATCTAAATGTAAAACTATAGTATCCATGAGTTTATAAGCTAACATAAAAAAAAACACTACGCGCGGCCTCGCCCCGCCCCCAAGGCTATACTTTAGACGATCTCCGGGACCTTTTGCCCACGGTCATTGCAGCCGCTGCGGCGGAACAAGACTTGGAAAATCGCATGTGCCATGTCCAGTGTGTGGGTCACTGGGGGATCCCCACCTTATAGGGAGATACCTGGTATCACTTGGTATTACCCTCTGGTAATGACTAATAGTTAGCTATTGAAAATGGCCATTGAAATAGTTGATTTACCCAGTAAAAATGGTGATTTTCCATAGCTATGTTAGTTTACCAGAGGGTACTGGTTGAATGGCTGTGATGTTTACATACTTTTGATCCATCCCTATGTTTCGCATCAACATGCATCAACTTAGCAAAGACATGGAACAATTTCCAAAATCCCCTGACTCATTCCAGAGTTGCTCCAATTCATCATAGCTGAATGATAGGCACAGAAATGTTGAAAAATTGGTCATTTGACCCTCTCTTTGCCCATTCTACATCAGTTGCTCAGGATTGAGGCGTTCCGTGAACCCGTCATGGAAGATTTGATGTTGGAGTACCTGGAAAGGCTGCGGCAAATTGGTTTCTCAACCGTCATTAGACGCTTGGCGATCTACGGCAAAAAGGTGGAGGGTTTTCCATGTAGGGTACCCTCCGGTGTCATGAAACGTTGCTAAAATGGAGGTTCATAGCTGGGGAAAAAACATCCATATTTTCCATTGCCATGTTTGATTACCTGAGGGTAATTTCCTGGGAAGAGGGCAACGTGATGGTGATACGATCCAAGCTCGAAAGTCTTCAGGGAAAGGAGGGGGTCGCAGTTGGAACCTGGTTCGCATGCGAAGTGCGGACTCGGCAAGTTCTGGGAAACATGTTGTGGTGTTTGAACTGATTGCTGGTTTCAATTTTCAAATATGCCTTTAGATTTTTGGCCATAGACTCTAATCAAACGGTATGATGATCCCCAATCACAAGCATATATTTTTCGGATGGCTTAACTACCAATCAGCCAGTCCCGCACTAAACTTCCTGCAGCACTTGGGGACGCGGTCATTGAGGTGGTCAAATGGTCCGGGAAGTGAAAACGTGCCGAACAGGACACAGATCCCTTCCGAAGATCACAGGGATGTACCCTCTGGGTCCCTCTGGGAAAATCACCCATTTTGAGTGGACACTCGTCTTCCAACCCCTATCCGGCAGGGTCTATGTTAATTACTGGAGGGTATGGGATTTGTTGTGCTAAGGTGAATTTTGGATTGTGCAATAGGATGCCTCTAGAATGTCCCTGAAACATCCTGAAACCAGCCCAGTTACTAAGACCTTAGTATCCAGACGCCAGTTGAATGATCAACGATCACCCTTAAGTTAGGGGAACTATTGTTCATGATCATTAACGATCTCAGCATTACCAACATCAATCAATCTTTTAAATTGGAAGTATAAGTCCCAACGTCCAATTGTACCGCACTATTTTCCATTGACTTTATTGTATAGTTTGGCATATTCTAACATATACCAAGAATGGACATATACTTATACGATATATGATATACGTTATAAGCCATTCCAATATGAAACAACTGTAGTTTATAGTATACACATACATAAAGTACGCAATGATGGTTAGTAAATTGGAGTCATCCCCAATGACCTTATTTTAGGTGAATTATGAACTAATTAAATCTAATTAATGCATATAATAACCCATCTTTATACTATATATATATATATATATAATCTACTAATTAAAAATGTAATCGGAGAATCCCATTGTAATCCCACTATGATGCCATTAAAGTCCCTTATAAATCAAACGTGGCAATGGAACACCCCTTGCAACTGGAGGTTTTTTTTGCTGGGAAATTCATCTATTAAATCGGCCATTTTCCAGCAAGCTGCGTTTGATTACTGGAGGGGAACCAGTATTGCCACGTATGTTTATACTATATATAACCCACTAATTATATACTCTCTCTATATATCTGCAGATATATATATATATAACATGAATACTCAAATATAATATATATATATACATAATCCCATGCATGTTTATACTACTATAACCTACTTTAAGAAAAATATCTAATTCCACTATATTCCCTTATGATCCCATTTGTAATCCCATTACGCCATGGCCGCCATGTCAGGAGGTAAAGCCTGCGGCCAAGCCTCCGTGATGCTCCACTGGGACGATGACTCGCCCCTGCGCAAGGCGCTCACGGGCTACGTGCAGGGCCGCAGGGTGCGGAAGGTGCAAGACGAGGCGCCGGCCGCGACGTGTCCGCAAAGCGCCTCGGTTTATTCGGATTTTATGGGGATTTTCGGATTTTATGGTGATGTTTATGGGATTTTGCTGGTTTTTGGCGGGAATCTTATAGTTTTTTTTGGACTTTCTGGGATTTTCTTTGCCAACTTGCTTGCATGGAATCATTGGGATTTCATGGGGATTCATAGGATTTAATTTTATGAGGATTTTAGGGGATCCATAATAATAGGGATTAAGGTGATTATGTCATTTGAGCAGTGTTGAAAAAAAACAATGATGGTGGTTTTTGAGGGATTACACTCCCATTTAAAGGGGATTTATATATATGATTGACGATTAGACGGTTAGTCAACTACGAATGGCACTAACGGTTCTCAATGGTTATCATTATCATAATGATTACTATAAATAATGGTTTGGTACCTGAAAAGTTGAGGGAAATCCCCACTTCCAATGGATCATGATCATTATTCCCATAAAATGTTTTTTTTGAGGGTATAGCCACTTGTCAGAGAAATCCATGTGGATGAATGATGAGGATTGGAGATTAATTAGTTTGTGGGCGTTTTTTTTTAAAGATACTGTGATTTGGGGCTGTATTTTGTGTGCTACTCCTTTTATTTTTTGGAGGGGATGCACGTACTACCATCTACTGTCTTGGCTTAACAGGGGTGTTTTCCTTTTTTAGAAGATTGATGAGGTTTAGCCCTGTTTTATAGTTGGGTTTTCAATGGTTTTTTACGCGAACGCCATGTTTTTCCCAACCTGCAAGGCTCCTCTACACAGCCATTCTATAGCGAGTTTGGCAGCTTTTTGGACCGCTACAGACCCGAACCTTATGCCAGATAGAATTCCAGATATGCCAGATAGACTATCAGATAAAATGTCAGATAGAATGTCCATTAAAATGTGAGACAGGGTGTCAGAAAACATATCTAATAAAATGTCAGAGGATTGTCGAATAGAATGTCAGAATATACCCTCTGATAAACAAACATAGCTATTGAAAATGGCCACCGAAATAGTTGATTTACCCATTAAAAATGGTGATTTTCCATAATTTTTTGTATGTTTACCAGAGGGTATGTCAAGGTATATGCCAGGCTGGGGATCACAAGAAGTGATGCACCATGGCGCCTTTGATGTCGCCACTTCTCGGGGATGGGTCAAAATTGTGATTGGTCATGTGGTAGACCCAACAATATGACACCCATATTGGCCGAAATGGGAAAACACCATCTCCAAATGGTAGGTCTATTAGATATGAGGTTTGGCACATTACCCAGTAAGCCCCAAAATGAAACAACCACAACAACCCCAAGTCGAAGCTGGCCACAGGTTGCGTCCATGGCATTTGCGAACAGGGCTCTTGCAAGTGTTGGAAGGGTGCTGGGATCTCAGGGACCAGGACAGACAAAAAAGTGATTGAAACAAGAAGATGTTTGAATAAGAATGTCAGCACCCATCAACATTTTGCCAAACATACTGATACCACAATATACCATACCCCAGATTGCTTTCTTAACACCCATGATATTTCTGTCATTTTGGTGTTTGCACCACAACAACTGTTGCTGGAATGCTATAACGTGTTGCTACATCGCCACAATGCTAACATAGACATGGAAAACTCTGGATGCCATGGATCAAGGCCAGTGGTGCTGATTGCTCCGTGTTGGCACCTGTGGATTGCCATCGCGGCCGCAAGCTGGGCTTGTCGTTGTCGGGGGTGAGCTACTGGACCAGGTGCGCGGAGCTGGAGAAAGTGTCTTGTGCTTCGGGTTTGAGTATTTTTTCTAAGAAAATGTGAAGGGGAATGGGGAGTGAATTTTGGGATGTCTGATTTTTTTCAACTAAAGATCAAGTTGGATGTAGATATCACTGTGCAAAGTTTTTCGCAGGCTGTTAATTCGCTTGATTGTGGCTTACTGTATCATAGGTAGAGGGATAGGTCTTAACAGAAATGGTAGTATAAAATTGTCTCGGCTTCTTTATCCAGTTCTCCTCAGAGTTGTTCTCTTTTTGGATTCTTTGGGTGTTCTGGGCTGAGTGTATCACCATGGCAGGGAGTGGATCTTTGTGGATGTCTTCAAACATGTGGGGAACTCAGCGAAATGATGACCACGATGACCAGCAAGGGAGATTTATTTCCAGCACATTGCGCCGTCAAACGTGGCGCCGGCACACAACCACGACAGAATATGATGGTTGATTTGCTTTGATAATTTTGATGTATATATAATTATATAATTATATATATATATGATACAATATATGATATGTATATAGGGATTTCAAGATTTCCAGCGTTGCTGGGTACAGCTACAATGACATCTTTGAGATCGCCAGCCGAGGTGGGTGAATGGATTGCGCAAGAACTGACCTCCTATGACTGGAATACAGGCCTTCGATGGGCGACAAACTTGAGTGGTTTTTAGTGCTAAACGAAGGGATTTGGGGGGTAAATGATGAGTGAACAACAATTTTCAGATATGTTTGATTATTTCTGCATGATCGATATGATCGTTCCCCTTCAAAATGAAGGGCGCACTTGTGAGAAAGAAGTTTCAACCGGGAATTCAACACTTGTCAGAGAGTCACTTAGAATTGCCGGTTTTTTGCCGCTCGCGCAGGTACAACGTTGGACGTGAGAAGTGATGGATACCCTGCGCGATTGCACTTGAACCAGGTCGCCACACTGCTGACAGCTACTCGGCGTTCTTGATGATATGGTAGTACGTTGTGTGGCATATGGTATTATGGAATATATGATATAGGATATTATCATTGGATGATATGGTATTATGTATAATTATATATTATATGACATATATATATATATCCTATGATAATCCCACTCATTATCCGCATCATTGTTGGTCAATATCCCCGTATTTCGCCATCTTCGGACGGTGCCAACTTACCCTTGTCGTCGGCGAGGTCCGTGATGTGGAACGACACTATGTGGATGGTTGGTATACCGTTCTGTATGATGGAGAGGGTATCCTCGACTTCAACATGGACGTGACCTGTGTACATCGCATAGCGCGGAATCACATTCGCATCTGGTCGTAGATTGTTTTTGTGACAGTGTGACTTTTTCGATTGCTCTGGGCCATGGGTAAATTATAACGACCTCACGTCGTGACCTCACTGGAATGATGGTTAGGGCTAAGGATTCCAAAACTGCCTTATTTCAGGTCAGTGAAGTATTGATAATCATTATAATTTTCCCATATTGCTTCTTTCAGTCCATTTCTATCCATCTCTGGAGCCGACTGGAACATTCGGTGGATTTGCAGGGTTTGGTGAACCAGCCAGGCATCTATGTGAATCTGACCACGGGCATGAACAATGGTATCGGCATTCGTCTCACCGATACAAAAGAAGACGATCCTGTCAGGCAGGGTGCAGCATGAAGTCAGAGATGGAGATGTCGAAAACTTGACAGCTCAAATTTACCGGTGAATCGGAAAGGAATCTTGGTTGCCATGCTTGAACACACCCCATGAGTCAGGGATTGACAATGGATGTCAATTTTTAATAATTTTTAGGCCACTCAGTGGGGGCGAATCATTAGTTGGATCACTTCACAATTGCAGCTGATAGCAGCTGGTCTAGAGTCTAGAAGATTGGCATCTAAGATGGTGTCATGATGTTCTCGCCTGGTTTAGAATATTTGTATAAATCCCATTCACTGTCAGTAACTATAGATTTACCATTATATAACCCAACACTTATACTATACTTACTTGCAGCCAAGAAATCGGGGCACCATTTGATGTTCCCTGGCAGGAATATTCGCATCATCACTCCAGGTTTTGAGGAAACCTATTTGACATCTCCGTTTCATCCAGCATTCCTGGCCAGCCTGGAAAACTTCACAGTCCTACGCTTCATGGATTGGATGCATGCCAACAGCGGCAACACTCCAGAGGAATGGGAACTTTGACTGAAACAAAATGCCATTTGGAGGTTTCCGTTTAGTCATGGGCTTACCCCCAGTCATCATCCAGTATGGATGACTATGACTTAGTATAGGTTAACAACCCTGGTCACCTGGGGATTTCCCAAGCCAGTTTCATCCCAGGAAGATCGGGTGACACCTAGCTACTACACTCAAGGCAGTCACCCTGGAGTGAGTTTGGAGTACATGGTCCGCTTGTCGAATGAAGTCGGAGCAGATCCCTGGTTCTCCGTGCCCATCAACGCCACAGACGACTACATTCAGAACTTCGTGCAGTACGTGTCGGACGCTTGGACCGAACATGACCGAAGCTCCCCGGACAGTGGCAAAGACCAATTTCTGCTCCAGATTTTAGGCAAGAATTGCTAGTCCATCTTGGGACCTTAAATAATCCTTAAATCAAGGGTCCATTTCTGGTCGCTGTTGGTGAAGCCAAATTTGACGATAAATACCAGAGGGTAAATCATTTATAGTTGATTTAGCCATTAAAAATGGTGATTTTCCATATTTGTTGTTCAATTACCATAAATTTACTGATAAATGATGCAGGATCACTTGCGGCCTGACCTGGGGATGTACATCGAGTTGGGCAATGAAGCATGGCACGGCAAATTCTTTGGAGGACGGCCAAAAAACTCCTGGTTTTGACCTGGGCACGGGGGCCAACAATGCTAGTGCCAACAAAATTGGCTAACATAGGGGATGATACTGGGAACATTTGGAAACAAATTAAATCTAAGTTTCCTGGGAAAAGAATCTAGGTAGTCAAAAGATGTCAAAAGTATATTTTTGTCCAATGTTTACCTCTAATATATTTAGTGTCTGGTGATATGCAGTGTTGATGTGACCAAAATGAGGCTGGATGTCATAGGTATTTGAACGCACCCATTTTGAATGGAGCAGAAGGTAGATGTGGGACCAAACAACTCAACCGTATTACAGCAAGGCGCATTAACCATTCTGAAAGCGGGCACGTTCTTTCCCTAATTATAGCCTAGGATTATTAATCTCTGTGTTCTATTCATTTGTGGAATGCTCATCATAAGGTAGCCAGATTTGTCCCGTGAACCAATCTGACCTACGATATACTGAAGTCGATTTTCATAGGATTACCATGAATTGAAGATGAACAAGCGTCAAGTGGGCCAGTCGAATTAGAAGAGACATAATTACCGGACCCACTTGGGTGACTGGCACTGAGCAATTGTTGGAAGACTTGCCCTCCTGTAAGCCAACATTGATGTGGAAAACTCACAAATTTGTAGATCATTGACCAAGGGAAACTATTGGTTTTCCACATCTTCCCTGGTCATGTTTACCCTAGGGGCCCCCAATGCCGCCGGTCACAGGACAGTGGGCCCAACAGCAGGCACCCGACCCAAATCCATTAAGCAGCTACTACACAGGGTACACAGGGTGATGTGCCAGGGTTTTGACTCATAGTGGCCAAGTCTGTGAAATTTCCCGCATCATTGTCATCTGAGAATGATTAGATACCTTATCCCTATGATGTACCATACCCATTTTGAGTTGTCAAGAGTACCGTCACCAATACTGTCAATGTGAATCCCTGATCATTAAACCCTGGCTGAACAAGTACATTATGTCAACAAGTGATCGCGATCAGCTATCAACTATCATTTGGTTGCTGATTTCAAACATCAATTATGTCATTTCCCTTTTTTCCCCCAATATTTGCGATGCTGATCCAAACTATACAATTACTGTAAATAATAGGACATTCCAAACATTTATTCCAACTATTTTTTAAACCATCCCATTTTGATGGCTTGAAACTTTCAAACCATCAACCAGTCATGGTCGCCTCCAATCCGGGGAATGTGCGTCTACATTGGCCGCCATTGGCCATAGATTGGGGGTAAATAAATGTCCAAGTTTTGGACAAAGTGTTGAACCATGTTGATGTCAAATCGTTCCAATCCATTATAGGCAAATTCGAGCCACTTTTGGGGGGGCAACTGGTGAACACCAGTCATTTGACCATATTTGACCTCTTTATCAACTCAGTTTTGCACCCAAACATATCTGAGGTGTTGGGAGTCGGCCTCTTAAGACGGTCCCCCCTGGCCGCCAGGGGGCAGCCCTGGGTCTGTCGCAGCTCTGTTGGTACGCCCTTCGCAGCGGCGAGATGGGGCGCATGGCCAAAGCGATCATCGGACAGACGAGGAGCTTGACGGTGGTGGCCGGCACACAGGCGGTGACTTCCTTCGTGGGCATTTTTGTTTGGGATAGAGTGGGAGAATGATGTGATTCATGATTTTTATAATGGGATCTAATGGGAGTTGCATAATGGGACTTAGTGGAACATCTTAATGGGGATATATATATATATAATATAATGGGAGAATGATGGGAATATTTCATGGGATTTTTCGATCATCATGGGATAGACATGGAGAATATGAATGGGGATTCCAAATGAGATAATTGGGATATTACCCTCTGGTGTCATCAAACGTGCTGGCTGAGAAATCTCCGAACTATAAATACGGAAAAACATCGTACTAAATGGTGGTTTCAATTGCCATGTTTGATCACCAGGAGGGTCTTAACTTATGGGGATTTCACGTGCGTGATACTGTCAGGATAGAATCTCGGATGTTGAGTATTGATGAGTATGGGAGATATAACCAATATACCCTCTGGTAATTTAACGTAGCTATTGAAAATGGCCATTGAAATAGTTGATTTACCCATTAAAAATGGTGATTTTCCATAGTTATGTTAGTTTACCAGAGGGTATACCAATATATTGTACCGATCTGATATTTGGGTTGATCATTTCACTCATATTTACTGATGAATGCCACCTCCTTGTGATTCTCGGCCAACTAGACAGATTTTTCCCCCGACACCCAACATGTAGTCAACCTCTCTACCCTCTGGTAATTTAACATAGCTATTGAAAATCACCATTTTTAATGGGAAAATCTACTATTAATGGCCATTTTCAATAGCTATGTTAAATTACCAGAGGGTAGCTTTTAAAGACACACAGTATACTGTATATTGATTCTGTACACTTACGATCCATGAACAAAATACATCACATCAAATACCAACCAAAAAGTTGTAGCCTACAAGAAATCAAACATGGCTGGCTGGAAAATTCCCCACAGATTTCCCATGGAGCTGATGACACCAGATTTCGGGTGATATCCCAAGATTTTTATCCAAATTATATCATAGTACATCCCCATGATATTCCATCATGCTTGTATTCTTATGATATTCCCATCAGTATCCCATTTTTTATCTGAAAAGAATATGACCAACTGGGCTTATCGCAGTGATGAATGGAGTATACCCCCACCAATTTCAAAGCCTTGCTCAGTGGGGTGATCCTCCAAAAGGATGGGTAAGCCAGGTTGAACGGCTAAAAACTGAGCTTATGTCACTGCACAATATTTTTTGGGGCTTATCTCTAGATGGGGGTTCCCTAAAAATTGGGATACCCCAAGTTGCCGTAGGTTTCAGTCATGTTTCAGTACTAAAATGCTCATCCATGACTTGGATGGTTGAAATGAAAACCTCAATATTTTATCAAACACAGAAGAGTGGATAGACATCACTCCTGAAATATGGTGATTCGACCCATGGAACAATCCTTTACCAATGGCGTCACCACGTTGTTTTGAGTACCTGAGGACTTGAGCCCCCAGAGGATTATCAATGATGAGGTATGCCAGGCATGATCATTTAGGGTTGACTAATGATATCATTAATGATTTTAAGGAAATTCAGCAGGTTTTTATGTGTTGGTTATATAATGTTATATATATATATATACGGCAAATGCCTGGGTTTTGCCCGGACCCGCAATGACGACAGGCGACGCATCATCATCATCATCATCATCATCATCATCATCATCACCATCATCATCATCATCATCATCAGAATTAAACCCTTATTGAAGATCTTCAATGAATGTAGAGATGAATGTAGAAGTTTAACGGGGTGGGGAGAATTAAACCCTGATTGAAGATCTTCAATGCAGAATGTAGAAACGAATGTAGAAGTTTAACGGGGTGGGGAGAATTAAACCCCTTATTGAAGATCTTCAATGAATGTAGAAGTTTAACGGGTTGGAGAGAATTTAACCCCTTATTGAAGATCTTCAATGAATGTAGAAGTTTAACGGGGGTGGGAGAATTAAACCCTTATTGAAGATCTTCAATGAATGTAAAATTTAACGGGGGTTGGGAGAATTAAACCCTTATTGAAGATCTTCAATGAATGTAGAAGTTTAACGGGGGTGGGAGAATTAAACCCTTATTGAAGATCTTGAATGAATGTAAGGTTTAATGGGGGTGGGAGTTTAATATTCCCTAGTACCTTTGTTGATCTTCCCAATTGAATGTAAAGTTTAACGGGGGTGGGAGTTTAATATTCCCTAGTACCTTTGTTGTTTTTCCCATAGGAATTTAAGTTTAACGGGGTGGGAGTTTAATATTCCCTAGTTGTTTGTCCATAGGAATTTTGTGAAGTTGCATCAGCATTTGTTTGGGAATGGGAAACCTCTACGAATCACACGTAGAACTGCAATTCCAGAGGACTAAGTGGATATATATATATATATTTACCGTACTTATAGGAGCGCCATATCCCGACAAACGTCCGGGTTGAAGATATCATGGTTATATCAGTTATATCCATTAATTGCCATTAGTAATCGTGGGTATAGGGATTATCTCCTGACGGGCTAACAATCCCATAGTTATATAATCCTATATCCATGAATAACCATTGAATTATCATGGTTATAGCCCCATAGTTTGTTAAGTTGGTTTATATCTCCAGAAACTTGGCTCAATAGTAAGCATATCTAGACTCAATGAGGGTTACAAAAGGTTATTAAACCAACTCAGAGCTATTGTGCACCAACTGCGATGACATAAATTCAGATAGATTCAGTGCTGGTTATATCATAATATCCATATCCATTCCATTGATTAGTAACCATTTGCTAATCATTAGATATTAATAACATATAAACTCATATATATATATATATCATCACCTATTAATAAGCATTTGTTCATGTTGCTTATACATTATTTATATATCATAAATATCATTAATATCCATTAATCCCATGGATCATGCCAATTTCTTCACCTCGGTTTGCTCCAGGCCTCGAATTGGGATGCCATGAGTCAGTTGCTCCGTTGTGACGGCATCAACGACACTGACGCCTTCGGCGTGGGGCCGTACTTCAACGGCTACGGCGTGCTGCCGAATCCTGACGATGACTTGGAACTGCTGCTGGACTCCTATGAAACGGACACTTGGTGGTTTTAGCGTATGAATGGATGGGTTTAGCTGGATGTAACCAACTATAGTGGGGATTTTGTTTGGTTTGCTAAAGAATGCTGTGATTTAATGAGATTTAATGGTGCTTAATGGTGTTTTAATGGATTTCCCATACTAGAACTTTTTTTGTTTTGCCAGATTTGCTGAAGATGATGATTTTTGGCTTATTTTCCCAATGGGAAATCCACTCGCCCAAGGAAGTACAAACCTCCATCCAATGGGTGAAGGACCATAAGGCGGCACTGGAAGGCTGGGATATGATGGGATGAATGGGTTTCCGAAAATGGGGAATCGCTCAGAACTAGCATGATTTTGGTAGTCCGGAAAAGTGATGACAAAGCATCGAATTCGGAAGTCGTCTATTTTCTAACAAAGCTGCGGCGAAAAGATGCCTACCTTCCGGTCACAAAAACACCATGACAGTGGATAATTCCTCCAGCCTTGATCCTACGAAATTTCCCATGGCTCTTGGGGTTCCCACGAGGTACGCAGTTCAAGTTGCTCTCCTACGAGAGCGGTCCTGCTGGCGAGGGCGATGGCAGTGCCACGGATCTGGCCATCCAGGCACATCGCAACCCGCGCATGAAGCAAATTCTCAGCCGCGCGGCGATCCGCCGGAGGATGGGTCAAGTGAGCCATGGGAAAATAGGGATTTAACCATTAAGAATATTTAAGAATAGGAATTGTATGGGATATCACAACCATTACTGTATCATTATTCTTACTATACGTACTATTATTATTATTAATAGTGGTGTGTGAGTCAAGACTAGGGGGGGAAATAAACCCTTGGTATCGGTGCCCTAGTGATTTGGCCCCGTGGGGCTCCGCCGGGTCAAATTGCTAGGGTGGTATCAAGGGTTTATATTTTAGCGGCAGGTGCTCGAGCAGGGGATGCCTGGAGCGTCAGGCCACACGCTCCAGGGATCCCCAGAAGACAAGGAACCACAAAAAAAAACACTTTTTTCCCAAAGTGTTGAACTGTTGGGGGGGGGGCCTTCGGGCGGCAGAATGAGGCCCTGTTGGACGAGTTGCAGGACGCGGTGCAGACCCTTCAGTTTTGGATATTCCATCGTGTTAATGCGGGTATTGCTTGCCACCTGTCAGGTGCCTTTTAAGCATTTGAACCTCACCTGCACCGCGTCCGGCAAGAGCATCGGCGGGAAGAAGGCAGCGGCCTGACAGTGCATTTCAAAAACAAACTTTTCTCGTCCTGGTCGTGCAGGCACCGCGCCGTCGCGGTGGAATCTTTCTGGTCGGTGAGAATTCGAGCACGAAGCGCGCCAGCGAAGGATAGTACACCGCATAAATCCCCTACTCGTGCATGACCCCTCGTGGTCGCCCAAGGAAACCTAATCTGAGACATGTCCCCTCAGATCTCTACCTGGGCTGCTGGTCCATGCGGAGCTCATCTCACTGTCTTTGTATCGGGGAACGTGATGACTGCAGACGAACCCACGTAGCACATCAAACTTGTCCAACTTTCCTATATATGCAGCACTCGTGGGAATTACTGGCGGCTTTGTTGGCATCAATCTTAGTACCAGGGGGTCAAAAAACGATAAGGAAAAAAACGCCGACGATAATCCCGTACTGCTCGTACAAGGAAAGAAAAGGAGAAGAAAGCAAGGATACGAATGCCGGAGAATGACATGCCGCTTAGGGTAAATCTCATACAATGCAATACCTCCCAGTTGCGCACCCTAATCCCCATATACCATTCTAAAACTTAGCCAACTGGGAGGCATTGCATTGTATGAATAGGACCCCTAGGCCCTAGTCTTGAAACTTGAGGGATTGTCATATTATATATATATAGTTATTTATGTCTATACATTTTTATATATCCCAATTTTCATGTTTTTGGTGAAGTCGTGATCCGAGTCTGCCAGGTACATATCCCCACAAATACCATGCAAAAATGGTTGATCTATCTATCCACGTCGCTGTGTTGGTGATCTATACCCCAAGCAAGATATCACATTATATAAATATAGACCCATCATGATCCATTTGCCAGGTACATATGCCCATTAATACACACACACAATACCCTTGTCTAGGTAAATATCTCCATCTCATATTTATTGTTGTTTAAATATTCCAGTTTGCCCTAATGGAATGTTTGGTTGTTGCGTTCATCCAAAGTATATTTGCCAACACACACACACATATTTAATTATACACACGATTTTCAGTTCTGGTAAGGCTCAACTTGTGATCCGAATCTGTCAAGCACAGCGATAACTCCAAATTCTGGTGTTGGGTATATAAGGCTGATAATCCAGTCCATACATCTCAGCAACATGATTGGTCCGTTTGAAGTACATATCCATCTGCCTTTTATATCCCAATATATCGGTTGGTTTATAGCCCCATTGTTTAATGGATCTGAAGTACATCTGAATATTCCCTTTTGTCACACGTTGGTTACAAAAATACGTTTTGACTTTTGGTAGGGCTCCAGTTATGATCCGAATCTGCAGAATCTAATCCAAGGTCTATAATGGATTAAGATGCTATATATCTATCCAAATTCCAAATGTGCTTGTTGGCTATATCAAGCTATATCTCCAATGATATACACCATCGATTTTGTGATATTTTGTATTTGCAGATCCATTGAATCGAATCTGCCATCTCCTCCGAGGGGCTTTGTTGCTTGTAATATATATATATATAAATATATACATCCCATGAAAAACATACCGTTATACATCCCCCTACATATCCCATAATATATCCCATCATTATTCCAATAGTTCAATACATTTATATATATATATGTATACATATATATGTATATATATATATATTTGAGAATGTACATATATATATATATATATATACATTATCCACCATGAAAAACAAATTGATTTGTTGTTGTTTTTTAAACCACCTTCTTGTCCCCATTTTTTCAAACTGTTTTTTCAGGTACATATCTTGAGGAATTGGACAAAGACCTGGACCTCATGATTTACTTCGCCAGCTGCGGTCGTCCCTCGCAATATGGCAGCTGTGGCATGATCGAAGCCATGGATCAGCCAAGGGACCAGGCCTACAAGTACCAGGCAGTGCAGGACGGCAAGGGATGCTGGTAGGGTTAAGGGTTAAGGCGTTGTGAAAAATCATGGTTGATATTCACCAAAACCTAGTAAAATAAAGATTTGGATTCAACCGATTTAAGCATGAAAAAATGGGATTTAACTATTGATTTTGCTGTTATGAAGAGGGATCGAAACCATTACAAATGGTGATTTAATCATTGGGCATGGGGATGTTTTACCAACAAACAGATTGTTGGTATTTTGTCATCAAACTGTGGGTAAACCAGCTTGTCTTGGATAGTTTCACGATTGGGCATGGTTCACATCAATGGGGTACTTTGACCCAAAAATGGGTGGTCATTTTTCAGATCTGGTCATGTGGGAAGATCAGGTGTGAAAAACCAGCATGCAATTTGGACTTGAAGGAGGAATTCACTTTATCCAATATATATCAGTGAATATAGCAACCCCAAAATGGGAAAAAAAACGTTGGACACCTTTAAAATATGTGGAAAGCATCATCTATACCATCCCCAAAACACTTTTCTATCTTTTTGGGGGTTCTTATCCTGTAGAAGTGGTTTTGCCAGAAGTTCATGCGAGTTATCTTGTTAATCGCAAAGTCATCCAGCTAGAATATTCCAAAAGCCCGTGACGCCTTACCCTCTGGTAAACTAGCATAAACATGGCTATTGAAAATGGCCATTGATAGTTGATTTACCCATGAAAAATGGTGATTTTCCGTAGTTATGTTAGTTTACCAGAGGGTACTTGGATTTGTCCTAAATCAAATCGGCAACTGGCGGCTTTGGGCTCATCAGCAATTTAAGTTGTCTCTATCATTCATTTATAGTGATTATCATTATAGTTGTCATATTTTGTCATTGTCAATAGTTGTCATTATAGTTGCCATATTTGAATGTAGCAACCCAGAATCTTCCTCATTTTCGAGTCAGCTCAAAACATGTAGCTTGCTCAATTTCAGAAAGGGTCATGTGTTTGACTTTAATGTTGTGCGGCTGTCTAAGCAGATTTGGCCCAAAACGTGGTTCCTAAATTTCTGGGCTGCAGCAGGGGTACCAACTCTATTAAACGAATCATGTGGGACTGAACCGGGTAATTGAACACATTGGGAAGAATTTGCAGGCTCACTCAAGTGGAACGAACTACCTCAGCAACACCGCGCTAGCTCAAACACATCGCTCTAGTTCCATGGCATCGAGCTGGCTCTTTTTTTTTGAACTAAAAAACGGAAAAAAACAACTCGAAAAAATTGAGCCAGCTACGTCACGTTGAGCTGGCGAACGAATGTGAAAGCTAAAAAACGAATACGTAATATGTATTGGCCGGGATGATGACGGCACACCGAGCTGGCTCAAGGGCATGTAGCTAGCTCAATTTTTTCGTGTTTTTTTTTGTTTTTGTTTTTTATTGGTCAAAAAAAATGAGCCAGCTACGAGGCGCTGAGCCAGCAACGAGGCATTGGGCCAGCTACGTGGCACTGAACCAGCAACGAGGGAATGGTGAATCTGTACTGTATGGGACTGATGGATTTTCCGATGCAGCCTTTGCAGTTCCAACAAGTCAAATTATTGATTAATTCTGGTACCATACGAGATAAAATAGAAGACTGGCAGTCTATACATATGTACATACATATATAACCCCAACCGTATAATTATGGTATTATGGTCAATCTGAGGCAACACCAGTTTCTCGAGGGAGACGCGTACCCTTGAGCTGGAGGGAAATTGGGAAAAGCAACTTTCGGCATATATAATCATATATATATATAGATAGTTATCATAATGTTACCATTATAGTTGTCAATGTTGATATTCCAATACTGTATTTAAAATATTCACCTCTATAATCAAAGGCTACTATATGAAACAATCGAACGGGAGAACCTTGTGCCCAACCCGCCTTATTCCCATCTGAAGGACTTTCTCAACAGCCAAGCGCCGCCCGCAACATGTTCCCCGGAGGGAACGGATTGCGAAGCTGCAGCGGGCTGCTCAGGCCAGGTATTCCTGAAAAACTTGGGACATCCACCATTTGGGGAATCTATCGGGAATTTTTGTTGAATTTGTTTGGGCCTCTTAAGCAAATCCGAGAAAACCTGGGAGGGTTGATCAACTACCCCAGGTCGCGACGCATCGTGACCGAAATGATAGGATTTGGATCAGGGAATTGATCCAGAACTACATCATGGCCCATGACTGCATAAAAAAGTGATGACACTTTGGCATGTGATATCGAGTTTTCACTTGTTTGTATAGTATTCCCTCCGGAATACCTTACACCCTCTTGTAAAATGATTAAATAATGTTGCTAAATGATAAAATATGTGAAATCCACCATTTACTAGGATCATTTTCAAGGGAAACACAGGTTGTCATTTATATTTCTGGAGGCTATTTGAATCGCCCGTAGCCAGGCAACGGCCTGTGTGGTGCAGATGATCAGTGCTATTGCTACAGAGGCAGGGGTTGAACATCCATCGAAATGCCCTTCAGGAATCAAACATGGCTAGCTGGATAAGCCCTCATGTAGTTCGATGATTTTCCAATTGAAACATCTTTTTTGGGGGAGTTCCGATTGCCATGTTTGATTAGCGAAGGGTATAGGATCTTTTGGAAAATCCCGGGGAAGAATATGGTCAAGGGCTTAAATTCAAGTCTCAAACTGTGGATGCCCCAAAAAATTGCCATTTTAATGGGGAAAATGGTGGTAAACCAGTGGATGTAGGAGTACTTTTATTTTCCGCCATAGAACTCTGGTAAATCCATGTAAAACCCATGAGTCATTCATATGATTTCCAGATTTGTGGAATGGCTGATCATCCAGCCTCACGATGCGTCTCGGATCCTTTCGGGATCAAAATTAGATCTCATCATTCCCATACCAACTGTTGGGATGAGATGCTGACAGGATATTCGGGTAACACTTGTTTGGACGCCTCCTACACAGACTACAGCTCCTGTGGCTATCGCTGTACCTTTGACCAGGGCCTCTGTGAAGTGAATGCCGCCTGGCGAGGGCTGTTCTGCCCGGAGAAATTGGCGAGGAATGACGTAGTACCAAAGGGCCAAATTACATGTTTTTCATGTTTCTCATGTTTCGTGTTAAAATTATATATATAATATTTCTTTCTTTTCTTTTCACTGCTATCAAGAAGAGATGCTGCATCAACCATTAACAACAATTGATAATTGATACTTGATTACTTTAAATATTGAACCATTCAATCTTTTGGAGGTCCATCATAAAATGAGTCCGTCCAAGTGGTGACCGATTAGGGACCATGTTGGCCTGGGCGACCTGGTCGGTCTTGGAGACTTTAAGATTCGGATGGCTGGAATTTGATGAGCCATTTCGATGGGTTTCTGTACAAATTTGCTCCTCAACTCTCCAGAGTGTTTCTCGAAATGGACCAACTGACCAGCCCGTGAAAATGAGAACCTCCCTTACTTCAAGAAGCACCTCTTTTCGTGGGTCTGACTTTACAAGTTGAGAGATTGGTTGATGGATATTCCAATCATGGACAAGAATATCCCCCTATAAAATCCTATAAACTAGGTGGCATCACCTGGTATCACTTCCTATTTAAAGAGACACACACGCATCATTCTGATGTTGCTTGACGCATTGACGTTTTGAGACTTCAGGAAGTGATCGGAAACCTTCGAAGTTGGGCTTGCAACTGCCGAGCAGAATATAGCGGTGGCAAGTGTTCTCGCTTTTCCTGCCCCAATGGAAGCTTGCCGGAGATTGCCGGGACGCCCCTATAGACCTACCCTCCGGTAAACTAACATAACTATGGAAAATCACAATGTTTAATGGGAAAAATCAACTATAATGGCCATTTTCAATAGCTATGTTAAATTACCAGAGGGTAACATTTAAATACATTTTACACAGTTAGTATCAGTTAGTAGTTTGCCATAGTTTGCCCTGTTTTTATTATTTCGCTGGCGCTTTCGGACAGTCTCAATGTTCAACCATATTTCCACATTTGGGATGATCCACTGACAAACATCTTTTCCAGTGGGGGCCCATCCACCAACCAGTTATGTTTTTTGCGCACAGACGTGACCAAGGATGCAATCAACGAGGGCATTGCATTGCCAGTGGAGTTTGCAGCTGCTACTTGACATCGTGCTGGACCAAAGCGCAGAGCATGAAGTTTGGATATCAAACCGATGATCCACAATGACGTACTATGTGTTTACAATGTTTACAAATATCTATATAATACAGTATCTCATTTACATATATAGTAAATTACATATATTGTATTTATATCACAATTCTGAGATCAGATGCAGCCAGAAACACAACACTTTTGTACGCGGAGAAAAGACCCTTCCGTTTGGCTTGAGTCTTTGAAGACTTGTTTGCAGACAAACCAGCTACACCTGTTATTCTCACATCAACTTAGAATGTTTCACACTTATATTTGTACACATGTATGTACTATGTATGAATATACAAATAGAATAGCTAGATAAGATAAGATAAGAAAAGATGAGATGGATAGGTCATAGCGTGGCATAAACACAGCTATCGGCGTAACAGCGTATCAGCGTATTTACACTTACGGACCCCAATCCCCAACATGCTGAGATAGATACATAGATAGGTAGATAAGGATATATCTATATATCTATATATCTATATATATAACCATATATCTATATATCTATATATCTATATATATATATATATCTATAAATCTATATATCTATATATCTATATATCTATATGTCTATATGTCTATATATCTATATATCTATATATCTATATATCTATATATCTATATATCTATATGTCTTTATATCTATATCTATATCTATATATCTATATCTATATCTATATCTCTATATATATATATATATCCATATATATATACATAGATCCATACCTATATGTATACATATATATATATAGATATAGATCCAAACATACCCCATTTACCATTTCTTTGATGCCTGTCTCGCGCCAGGTTTTCGTGGCTTCCGGGGCGACACCTGTGAGATCGACTGCGGATGTGGACATCATGGGCAATGCGACTCCAAGAACGCCTTTGGGATGCAAATGGGAAGGGAAATCCCCATCAAAAACGAAGGTTTTCATGGGAAATCATATGGGAACATGGGAAAATTCATGAAACATGGAGGTTTACAGCTGGGTAAATATGGATTTTCATGGGATTGAATGGGATAGTAATGGGAATATGTCCATGATATTAATGGAATATGAATGGGGATATAGGATAACAATTGAGATACTACCCTCCACTGGCATGAAACATACCAATAGGAAGTCCCCGAACTAGCCATGGAGGTTTAGTTCGCTGGGAAAATAATTTCAAAAAAACAGGATTCTCCAGCAAACCATGTTTGATTGCCGGAGGGTAAGAACGATTTAACATCATTATGGAGCTTGAATGATCAAACATATATGGTAATATAAATGATGACATCATGTTTGATTGATGTTTTTTCTACCCTTATTAGTTCGGGAGTGTCATATTTCGAGACCCGGAATCCCAATGAAAACACAGCATTATATTTTGGGACTTTAGAATCGGTTTTTGAAAGCGGCGTGCTCCACCAATGAAAAACCCCCAAACAAATGGTTTATTTTTTTCTGGATAAACATGACCATATATGGCCATATATTGGGAGTAAAATCCCACATTTGTGGACATGGACATATTGAAGTCGGACCTTGCCGCTTTAGTCATGGTTTGGACGAATAACAAGAGTTGTTGATTCTGCTGAAATTGGTGGTTTTGGATGATTTGTTTGGGTTCCCAAGATTGAGTAATTAACTTGAGTAGTTAAGACCGCAAAACCAAGGTGGCCTACTAACTGTGAATTGAGCATTGCACTCCTCCAACCGGTCACTCAACTTGGTATACAATTGCATTTGCTGTCACAGTTTTTTTTGTATTCTTTGCGAAGCGGCTGTCCATTGAACCTTTCAAAACGTGGGTTCTGTCTGAGAATGGCAGTGGCTTGTCATCGTTTTCCGATTTAATAACACATCATTTATCACAGAATTCAATGGATTGCTTTAAGGGAAAATCTACAGGAAACCATCATTTTTAATTACTATCTAATATAGGGGTTTCCTGTAGATTTTCCCTTAATCCAATCCAATGAATAATAACGCCATATTTTGAGGGTACACCTCTTGGACTTCAAGCGACAAAGCCATGGAACCAATTGCGCCAAGGAATGTATCTGTGATAAAGGCTGGCGCAAGTCTAGCGCCACCGGCTGTGAGTGGGACTGTGACACCGTGGACACCTTGGGATGTACTGGTCCAGGCCGAAACCGAGACAGTTCAAATCAGTTTATAACTGGTTGGTGGTTTGGAACATGGCTTTTATTTTTCCATATATTGGGAATGTCATCATCCCAACTGACGAAGTCATATTTTTCGGAGGGGTAGGTCAACCACCAACCAGATGCAGCTGAATTTTGGTAGTAGAAGAAGGATATGGGTTCTAAAGACGGGTGATCCCCAAGTCATGAGTTTCTTCAAGCTGAAATGGTCCTCGACGACTGGATGATTTGGGGGTAGCCCATGACTTAGGAGACCTCCACATGAGGCATTTGGTCTTGCAGTGCACATCTTCATTTTGCAACTTCATGTCCTCTGAGATCCATGCTGCAAGATATCAAAGGAAGCACCACACTTCAAACATCATTTCCTTCGGACAAATCAACATTTTTCTTTGGTTTAGATCTCCCCCCAAAATTGGGGGTCATCATCCATTCTATAGGATTTTCCATTGACCATTCAGCTATTGGGGTACCCCACTTAGGAAACCACCATTGTTCATCCACAAAAACCTGGAGGTCAAAATGCCTGCGGCACTTCTTGCCAGCATGGCACATGTCTGGGTGGTCGCTGTCACTGCTGGGCTGGGTACCATGGTGCTGATTGCTCCACCCTGACGAGTTCGTTGCTGGCGCATCAGGGGGCAGCCTTTGGCATCAACGTGGCAGTCACGCCGTCAACCTTCGTGGCTCCGCTATTTTGGTCGATGGGGAAGTTCACATCGATGCTAAGATGCTAAGTATTTCACCCCAAAAATTGGGATTGAAGCAACAAAATTATGGGGTTATCATGGGTTATGGGGGGAGGGTTCTAGAATCGATCCATTGATGGTGGAGACCACCAGTAACTCTCGAAATGGGGATCCCAAAGGCAAAAATATGGTGATTTCACTTCCAGGAAACAGGAAATGTGGAGGATCACAACCAAAAGAGGATCGCAACTGAAGCCCGAAACACACAGATCCAGTACGAAACCAGGGTCATTTGGGAGAAGGGATTGACCGATTCAATGGTCCCAACTGTCACACTTCAAAGATTTGCAGGAGATGTAAGTCATTTGGGGATATTTGGGGGTCTCAAGAGGATACCCTCTGGTAAACGTTTACATAACTATGGAAAATCACAATTTTCAATGGGAAAATCCACTATAAATGGTCATTTTGAATAGCTATGTTAAATTACCAGAGGTAAAAATTAATGATAGGGATCCTTTAGAGATTTCTAGGGAGAAAACCGATAGAAAGGCAGCAACCACCAAAATGGAACTCACAAGAGAACAATGGGCCTATGGGCATCACGGGTTTCTTGCTGTTTCAAATCCGAACTGGAACTAATTCATATGTACATGTACCCATACACTAAAACACCGTCCATCCATCCATTTATTCATAGATCTGTCCTCATGTGAATTCTTTGCTTTCCATCCCTATCTTCGACCTCAACTTCTCCCCGATCTCTTTAAGGTGGACGTGATGAAGACCACCCGGCACTGGACCAGCATTTGGGATGCAGATACACAGCCTGGACAGTTCAGTTACCAGGGCGGCAGCGTGATGTGGAGCTCCAGGCAATACGAATGGGGCAACGGCCTGGAGATCAACGAAAGCGCGGATGGCTATGTGAGATCTCTGAAGCAGGCACCGGCTTGCCATGCTTGCCATGCTTGATGTTGGATTTAACATGGGAGAAACACATAGAAAAAACACATATGGGGATGTAGAGTCCATATCCAGTATATCCAAGATATCTACTGTACTGAATATACATCACCAAGAAACACTGTACTGAAGTATAGTCAGAAATTGGGTGATCTATTGGTCCCATTGGTGATCAATCCGGAGGGGTCATTGGTGATTCATTTTTTAAGGATAAAAACACTATGGGATAGATGACAATCCCCCACATAAACAATGTTTTGACCATGGCACACATGATCTATGGCATGCGGGAGTTTTTTTTCGATGCGATTTGTGAAATCTGGAGGTTGCTGAAACATATCCATCACATTCACGTGTCGTTGGTTCTTCGAACACAACGTGGTGCCCCCAGTTGGTGCAGTTGGTGCAGTTGGTTTGTAACGATCCCATGAACTATGGATCTAGTAGCATAAAGCCTAGTTGTGGGCACCACATCCTGTAACAATCATCAGTGAACCAAATAAAACCACTGGGAGGTCCGCACAGCTGAAAAGTCCACTTTGCCCCGACAGCACTAAACATGACTCTCTTTTGGAATTGGCGAACTGGAGCAGGATTTTAGACAGGATGTCCTAGATCAACCGTGAGAATTCCTGAGATACCCATTCTTAGAGTTGTGATGTGGAAAGAAGGGACTCTACTGGAGAATTTGTGGATTCTGGGAAAAAGGATGAAAAAGGATGAAAAAGGGTTTGTCTGAACATAGGCTCCTGCACGCCAAAATCCAATGGGTAGTGATCGTGAATTTTCCCCATTGAAACTACACATATGACCAGCAAAATCTTTCACTATTCTTTCTCTTGTGGAAACCCATGTGCACCCTATTGTTTGTACCATTCCATACCATTCCACTATATCCCAATTATATCCCCATGATATACCCAATAGTTGGTTGGATACCCATATCAAGGTTGATTCCCTGCTTTTCATGGATCAATCCCCACAGTTTTTAGTGGTCACAACCACACTTTTGATGGTTAAATCATGTTAAATCACCATTTTTCATGGTTGAATTATAATTTTTCTTGGTTGAATTACCATTTTTCTTGGTTAAATCCCATGAAATTCAGCTCTCCAACTTCTCCAACAGGATCAGGCCGTCATCACCCTAGCCCTTCGGGACGTGTGTCTTCACGCGCCCAAGGGGCGTTACGTGGTCACCTACGACGGGGATGGAGAGATCGATTTTGGCATGGACGCCACACCTGTGGCATTCCAAAAAGGCGGCCGGATTCAGTGGACTTTCATGCGGTTCATGATCTAATTACTGGATTTGCTGAAGATAACTGTTTCTGTCTCAATAGAAAATCCACTATATACTTTTGGGGGTTCCTTAAGCAAATCCAAGTACTTTTGGGCTGGATGTTTCCATCTCTTTTGAACATGTTTAGTGGAGGGCCGGTTCTTGGAGAAGCTTAAATTTCCTGGGCTTAGTTTTTCACAAAGGTTTTCGAGTAAGCAGTGCCAAAAACTCATTAGTTCATTGAAGTTCATTGTTAATTTTGGGGTTCTACGAACCTATTGAAAACGGATCATTACAACCCGTTGTTAGAATAGCTATAAAATGCTGTAAACAAACCAGTGGAACCAGTTCGCAACCAGGTTTTTTCTCAAGTAGTTCACAAGTGGATAATACAGTTGGTTTTTATTTACATTATCGAAGGAAGTTTAGAAGTCAAACTTCCGACAATATGGACAAATGAAAAGCAGAGCAGGGAAGAGGAAGAGAGAACAGAAAGATTAGAAGAAAGAAGAGTAGAAGAGAAAGAGTAAGAAGAAAGAAGATGGAGATGCGCGAAAAGGTAGGAAAGTCGCGAAACACTGTGTTTTTCCAATGATTTGTGGCTCCGGAGGGTCGAAAAGTAGGCTCGCTAAAGCGGCGGGTGCGGAGCCAGCTGGCGAGATGAGAGATGAAAAGTTGCACGCCGTTGTGGCGCGAAGCACATTTCGAAGTCAAAATGTACAAAACACTAGGGGTGCGGACCACTTTTGGCAGTTGAGATGACGAAAGCGTGCACGCCGTTGTGGCGCGAAGCACATTTCCCAGTCAAAATGTACAAAACACACCTTGGTCGGACCACTTTTGGAAGTTGAGATGTCGAAAAAGTGCACGCCGTTGTGGCGCGAAGCACATTTCCAAGTCAAAATGTACAAAACACACCATGGTCGGACCACTTTTGGAAGTTGCGATGTCGAAAAAGTGCACGCCGTTGTGGCGCGAAGCACATTTCCAAGTCAAAATGTACAAAACACACCAATGTCGGACCACTTTTGGAAGTTGCGATGTCGAAAAAGTGCACGCCGTTGTGGCGCGAAGCACATTTCCAAGTCAAAATGTACAAAACACACCACGTTCGGACCACTTTTGGAAGTTGAGATGTCGAAAAAGTGCACGCCGTTGTGGCGCGAAGCACATTTCCAAGTCAAAATGTACAAAACACACCACGTTCGGACCACTTTTGGAAGTTCAGATGTCGAAAAAGTGCACGCCGTTGTGGCGCGAAGCACATTTCCAAGTCAACATGTTAAAAAAGAACCTCCGTGTCGGACCACTTTTGGAAGTTGCGATGTCAAAAAAGTGCACGCCGTTGTGGCGCGAAGCACATTTCCAAGTCAAAATGTTAAAAGCAGGGCAAAGATGAGGCAGGCCTACCAGACTTGGTCCCAGTGTTCCGTGCAGAAGATGCCTCTTGATTTTAGATTCCTATTGGAACTTGCGCGCAGCCGCAATCAGTTGATGCATGCCCTTGTCGGAAATGGCATGCAGCCACAGCGTCTTCATGCCCTTTTGCAAAACCATGGTGTCCCTGAGATGAAGGTTGCTCAAAGAGTGAAGATGATTAGTGAGAAGATTTCCCAGGACAAAATCCGACTTGCCCTGGATCAATCTGATGAGCAGCAGCAGTGGAGGTACCTCAAGCAAGAAGCCAACGCAGTGAATCTTCGTCTTCTGGACCGAGATGAATCTGAAGCATATCACAAGCGGAAGTTTGTTAATGCCCTGACCAATAGCGATGTTGATCACTTGCAGATTGATGACCCGTGGAGTTCAAAGCCTGCCAAGGTTTCCCCATCTTCCAGTAAGCGTAGTCCTCCCCCTCTAATTGAAGCCCGATTGCGTCCTGAAGATTGGTTGGATGAGTCAGGTGCTCCTGTTGCTGTCTTGGCATCTGCAGACGTCAAGTCGACTGCGTCTGGTGTTGCTGCCGTGGATTTGGATACTGCTACGCGTTTGTTGGCTCATTCCACTAAGGCTTGGACTCTTGGCCCGTTGACTTTGTTTGTGACTTCAGATTCTTCTCCTGATACCCCTTTGCCTTGTGAGGAACTTACCATTTTGATGAATGTGTCGTCTGGTCCCGTTGTCCGTGTCCGTGGTTCTGGTTCAACTTGGTGCTGTGCTTGTCAAGCGTCGTACCTTCACACAGGTGGATTTGCCAAAACCTGAGGGTGTCGAAGTTGTGGTGCAGGCCCACAAAGCCCACATGGACTTGCAAGTGTGGGATTCGTTGTGGTCGTCACCCTTGCGCACAATCCATGGGAAGCTGTTGGAAGGTAAGGGTACTTTTGGCCAAGTTCTTTCCCGTCGTTGGATGCCCCGCCCAAACAATAGCGCCACTGTGTTTCAAGCTGTGATTCGCATGGACCAAGGACTGTTTGACAAGCATAGGATCACTTGTTCTGAGCATGGCATCTTTTTTCGTTTGAAGCATGAGCAGTGCGAAGAGAAAATTGCTTGGCTGACCAATGACATGACCTTGCATGATGCACTGGCATTTCAGTCACGCATGTCTGAGAAAGTTCTTGGAATTGTCGCTGGTAAGCACTCACTTGGTTTGGCATGTCGCTTGCAGCACTTGCAGGGCTTACAACAAGAAGTCAATCCCAACTTTGTCCTCAGGGATGGCTGGGATGTTCAGACCAAGGAGGTCTATGAGTTGTTTGGCTTGCCGCGTGATTGTACTGTTGCCACTTTGCAGCATGCCTTGGCGACTTGGGGTTGGAAAGTGGTTGTGTTGTCGCTTGGTCGTTCGAAACGTGAACGTGTTGCTCGGGTTGGTGCGGAAGTTGAACCTGCGTCAAATACTTTGGAAGTGAATGGTTGCCTTGTCACTATCACTCCACGCAATTCCGAGCAGCAACCTCGCTCCAAACCCTCGGCTCCTGTTGTGCCAGTTGGTCCTGTTGTAGGTGAATTGTGTGAAGATGCAGTCATGGAATCTGTGCATCCGGTGCAGCTCCACTTGCAAAACTTGCAACGCGAAATGGAGGAACGCATGGACACGAAGTTGCAGACTTTTCGCTTGGACTTGGACAATTGTGGCCATCGTTTGATTCAGGTTGAGCAAGCTGTGAGTGCCCAGAACTCAAAGATTGAACATTTGGATGCTTCCTCGCGTGAACAGTCGGCCTCTATCCTCAACGTGTTGCAAGGCATGCAGGCTGCGCAGAACAAGACCGATCAACAACAGTGTGAAATCATGGACATGTTGCAGCGCATGGCTCCGACGGATCGCCCGTCGAAAGCTTCTCGTGAAATGTGACTATCTCACCATCAATTCACAGGTGGTGCTGGTAAGCGAAAACATGGAAACCAGCCGCCTGTGGCTGCAGATTTTGTTCAATTTTGTGATGATGTCACTGGTGGGGCCAAAACTCGAAAAACCCATAAACAACCCCCTGTGATTTCTGATTTTTGCGGTGCCCCATCCCACCTACAATTGCATCCTGTTGCCGGTGATGGGTCTTGTTTCTTTCATGCTGTATGTCTGCATGTTGGTCTTAGTGCCGGAGATCTACGTGCTTTGTCTGTACAGGTTATGCGTGCAGCTCCTGAGTTTTATTCTTTGTTTTTGGATCGAAGCGATGCTGATTGGGAAATTTACCTTGAAAGACAGCTGCTGTCGACAACTTGGGCTGACTCACTTGTGATCCAAGCTGTTTGTTGCGCTGTGCGTCGGGAGATTATTGTATATTCTACCACGTCTCCTCCGGTGTCTTTTCGGCCCTTTGAGCCTGTGGTCCAGGCCCTCCCTATTCCTGTGGCCTACAATGGGGTCAACCATTTTGATGGACTTGTTAGGCCACCTTTGGCGGCGGTGCCTCCTGTTGGTTCATGTCCTGTGGCGTCGGTCCCCTGTTCATCGCTTGGCAAGCCTGTCCGAAAACGGTCGTTGGGTTTCCATAGATTAAAAAAGCTCCGCGTTGGATCTTTGAATTGCACTTCGTTGTCAAAGCACTTTGCCGAGATTGCGTCTATGCCGTTTGATGTCCTGTGTGTCCAGGAAACCCGTGTCAATTTGGCAGCACAACGCCGTCTGTCCAAAGACTTAGTCGATGTTGGGTGGAATGCAGTTTGGGGTCACCCCACCTGTGGCCAAACGGTGCGTCGCGATGGGACTACCCACGCCACAACCCATCAAGGTGGTGTGGCCATTCTCTATCGCAATCATTTGTGTGCTAAATCCCTTTGTCCTGATCATGGTGATGTGTTGACATTGTACAAGCAGGGCCGCTTTGTTCATGCAGTGTTTCCCCTTGCGCGTGGCAACAAGGTTCTACATTGTATTTGTGCCTATGGTTTTTCTGGTGCCAGTTCATCGAGTCGCATCTCAACACACTTTGTTCGCAACGAAGATGCCTTGAGTTCAATCCTTGCTTATGCAAAAAGCTTTGGTAATGTTCCTCTGGTTGTTGGGCTTGACTTTAATGATCGGATTGAGAATAGCACTGTTCTGGGTCAGGCGTTGCAATCCTTTTCTTGGTTTGACGCGGTGGCTGCAGGTGATGTGAATGCCAAGGACAATACCTACTCCGCAAGGGGTTGGTCGAGTGACATTGTTGGTACTTCGTGCATTGACTTCATCCTTCTAAATAGCTTAGCAAGATCCGTCCTGTTGCATGCGAGGACTTGCTCTGACCTTTTTGTTGGCCAGCATCGGGCACTTGCTGCTACTTTGGATTTGGAGGGTTTCCGTGTGGTGGAGGTTCAATTGGTTCGTCCTGTCCCTTTCGAATTGCCTGTCTTGTCAAAGGTTCCAGATGATCGCCAGAAACAGCTTGCGGCTGAGGGTGCTCTTGCTGTTTCACTCTTGGATGAGATATCTGTACCCGTTACTTGGACTTCCCTTAACGAGGCTGCTTCTTCTTTCTTGGCTAAGTGTGCTGGTATTAAGGGTTGTTCTCCTGTGCAGTTCAAAGGGCGCGCTCCTCGATTTGCCCGCCGCCCTCGTTTGCCTCCTATGTCGGAGGGGGCTGCTGTTCCCCGAGCCTTGGTGCGTGCTGCTTCTTTCCTTCGGTTTGCCAAATCTCAAGGTGATGCTTCGATTCCTGCCGTTCTTCCTCGCAATCGCTTGGGAGCGTGGTGTTTGCTTGGTCTCGGCCCTTGGCAAGCTTTTGTGTCCAGCTTATCTTCCATGCGTTGGTCGTGCGTTGTCCCGTTGGTGCAAAAAGCCCTTGATGACAAGCTTCGTGCGCTGCGCTCCAAGCGTCAAGCTGATTGGAAATCCTGGCTCCGTGCGTCACAACGCCATGTTACGCGTTGGCTCCGACATGAGGGTGGTGCGGATGCAAACGCTGTGATTCCTGACGGAGCTTCTTGGACTGCAAACCCGGATCATGTTCATGCTCGGCTTTTGGATGAGTGGCGACCCTTTCTGTGTGGTCCTTGTTCTTGTTTTAGAGCATTTGCTGAGGAGTATTCCGAGGAACTTGCCGCTGCTCGACTTCCTGTCGAATTGCCCCCAGTGACAGTGGCGGAGTTTCGACTGCAGTTAACGGATCGTCAGCCGAGTATCCGTGGAGGTACAGATGGATGGACTTTGTTGGAAATGAGACGCTTGCCTGATGTCTTCCTCCAGCAGTTTTTGGATTTACTTCATGCTTTTGAGAGCTCGGTTGCGCAAGTTTGGCCGATGGGATTGGTTGCGGTTTCAACGGTGTTGCTCCCCAAACCTGATGGAGGGCACCGACCAATCAGTTTGTCTAGTCTTTGGTTGTCTTGTTTTTATAGTGCCCGCTTTGCCCAGCTTACCCAATGGCAGAGCCGTGTGTTTCCAATTCAACTTGTTGGAGGCATCCATGCACGAAGTGCTGCACATGCGGAAGTGCCACAAGCGTTGTGGCTCGACTTGTGTGAGCGTGATCGTATTCCTGTCATTGGCATCACACATGATCGACGTAAGTGTTTTGATTTAATCAAGGCCCCTTTTGTTGTTCAGCTTCTTGATGCAATTGGTCTACCTGATCACGTGGTTAATGGCATTCTTGGTCGGTATGCGTGTCAGGTCCGGTTTTTCAAAGTCTTCAGTAGTTGTGGTCCCACTTTCGCTTCCCAAAGCCTGTTGCAAGGGTGTCCCATGTCGGTTTTAGCTTGCAACTCTTTGTTTTCTATTTTGGCTCGTCGAATCCTTCGGTTCTTTCCTCGGGTGGATGTTACCTTTTTTGTGGATGACAGCAAATTGCGTGGACGCTTGAGTGACTTGCACGATCTCAAAGGCGCTTGTGAAGAATTCCACCGTTTCGACGGGCTTTCTGGTCAACAATTGAATGGCAAAAAGTGCAGAGCTTTTGGTACAACCTCTGAGGCCCGCCGTGCTGCTCGTGCACTGCTCCCTCCAGATGGCTGCTTAGTTTATCACTTGGTCAGTTTGGGATATGCTGTTCACTCGACTTGTAAAGGACAACAGGCCCTTGCCAACGCCAGATGTGAGCGCCAATACCCAATCCTGCGGCGGATTGGCCAACTTCCTTTTGGCAAGGAGGAAAAGATGAAGTACGTCTCGTCCTGTGTATACCTAGTCTGACCTATGGTGTCCTCACTTCCTTTCCTGCATGGCCGGTGTTGGATAAGCTCAGGTGCAGTGTGCTCAACGCATGTTTTTCCAATTTGCAAAAACTTCGGGAACCACACCTCCTAATGTCTGTTTGCTTCCAGCAGCATCGACTTGATCCGGCTTCAGCCTGTGTCTACCAAGCCTTGGTAGATCTTCGGCGTGCAGTCTTCCAGTGTCCTCTGCTCCGTGATTCTTGGGAGGCATTCTGCAATCCGCCTTCCGGTGCTCGGCTTGGTCCCTTGGTGATCCTGCGCAATCTTTGTACCTTTCTTGGTTGGTCTCCTTCCCCGGAAGTGCCGTGGACTTGGAATCGCTCGTTTGATGTTCCCATATCCCTCTATCAACACCGTGCGTCATTTCTGCATGAGGTTCGCAGATCTCTTCGTTTCGCTGTTGTGCAAGGTGTCCATCGTCGCAAGGACACCCATGGCTTGCAAAACCTGCACTTGGACTTTCATGCTTGTACCAGGTTGCTCCGAGCATCCCAGCTGACTCGGGGTCGTTTGCTTGCGGAATTTCCTGACTTTGTTTCGTCTGCTTCGTGGCTTGATACCCTTACTGGACAGTTGAGGCAAGTCTTTTGTGGCAGTACTCGTACAGCTGATCGTTTGTGTGCGGCAGGCTTGTGGGATTCGGATGTGTGCTCTGGGTGTCGGCAGACTCGAGAAGAACCAGTCCACATGTTCCAGTGCGACAGTTGGTCGCCCAGTCCAGAATTGCGTGCGCAGCTTCCTGTGCAGACGGAAGATGACCGGTTTGCCGTTTCTGCTTTTACCTGCCTTGGACTTTTGACCGAGCCTTCTTGGTGCCATGCTCGACGAGCTTTCTTGGTGCAAACATTGTCTGTTATTGATTGTCCTGTGTTGGAGCATTTCCCTGATGTGGTCTACCTTGACGGTAGCACGCTTGACCCGTCTTTGCCTGACGCCACTTTTGCAGGCAGTGCGTGTACTTTCTACCTTGGCCCTACATGGCTCCACACATATGCCACAACCGGTGGTTGGTCTTGACCAAGGATCCGACCGTGCAGAGGTGTTCGCAATTGTGCGTGCGGTTGAGTGTCTTCTCCATCTTGGGATCAACTGTTTTGAAATGCAAACTCGCAGTGTGCGATTGGTCGGTGACTGCCAGTGGGTTGTGCAACGTGCCCAGCTTCATGTCGGTAACCAGCAGCTTGTTAATCCACATGATGCCCACCATGACTTGTGGCAACGCTTTGCTGATGCGACTGCAATAGGCTTCCCTCCAAGTTTTGCTGAGGTTTGAGTGGGTACCTTCTCATCTTTCTTTTGACCATGTTTTTGTGGGCGTGATCTCTGCATGTGATCATGAAGGTAACTCCCGAGCACATGAGGCTGCCAAGCAGACTGCTAGACAGGTCTCTTTGTTGTTTGGCCATGGCGATATCATTGCTGCTGCCAAATCGACGCTCAAAAAGCCAGTGTGCGTCAGCTGTATAACGTGGTGGTAGTGCAAAAACGTTGGCGCTTCTTGAAGACTGCCAATTTATCTGTCCCTGACTTGCCTGACGATGATGATAATCCAGACCAACCGGGAGATGTGAACATTGAACCTTTCGGTTCCTCTGTTGCTGCCATTGACCCTTCAAGCATGTGTGAAGATCCTGAAACCACTTGGCCTTCTGCCTCTCAAGTTACCTTGTGCAAGCGACAAGTGAGTCACTTTGCTTGGCAAGTTCCTTCTGATTTGATCACGCACCAC